TTGACAGTTTTCTGGAAAGAGTAGGCTCCTTTATAAAGGCTTTGACCTTAATTCTGCTAACCAGGTTCAAATCTGACTTGATGTATTCCATTTCCTTCTATAGCTGTTTAATCAAATACGTTTTAAAAGCCTTTAAAGGTGGGGTCGGTAAGTTTGAGAAACCGGCTCGAGATACACTTGTTATATTCCATGGAATGCTCTTAACATCCCGATAGCAATGAATATCTTAAGTGCTTTGACAAAAAATCCTTTAAAAAATATCATCTGTGGAAGCCGTAGTACTGTAAAAACCACGACCAATCATTTTAGCCGGCCCGGCTAAAATAACTGGATGGCCTACCTGCCTGTCAGCCTTCTATCTGTGCACAAACTTATCTCGTGCCCTCATTGGTCATGTGCGCGTTCGTGTGTGTTGGAGGAGGGGCTCTGTAAGGAAGAGGCAGATTTTCTCCGGCTGTGTATTTTCAAATTCTAGCGCACTCAAGCTGGTTTCTACAACATTACCTTCCCCACCTTTAAGTAATGTTCAATTGGAAGTTAATGCACAATATTTAGAGTGGATTTGACTTCAACATAAAATAAAATGTATTAATTCACAATTGTATATTTGTAAATCTGATTAAACATACTGTCATTTTGGTTCTTAAATATTGTAAACTTAATATGGCTATGGTGTTATGATTTGAAGTCTTAAGCTTCCTTTTACGTTATTGAAAGATGAAGCAATATGCTGTATAAACGAGAACAAAGAGGCAGTGTCCCTCTCTTCATACCCTGTATTCTGGCCACAACTGGCTGAATACATCTCGAAAATAAAGCAATGACTCTGCGTGGAGGGTCCATGACTTGGGCTTTTCTACTCTGTATTGATCAAATGTGAGGTGCTCCATCAGCATGCTTCATAATAGTGAAGTAGCTTGTATTGATTGTGACATCTTGGCTAGCTGGTACAGAAACACAGTAAGTCAAGAGAGACAAGTTGTTATCAAGAGGTGGGGCTCTAATAAAAAGGGAAAGGTGGAGGTACTTGAAATCGTTTAAGTGTATATACTTTCCTTGAAGTCTACAGAAAATACTGTTTTTCCAGCATATTCTACCTCTCTGTTCCATAACAAGCACAATGGTCAGAGGCTGTCAATGTATCACTGTTAATTTGATCGTTTAAACAATGAGTGATGAAAACATTTTTATAAAATACACAAACATATGATGATGAGTACCATTCATTGCTGTATATTTAAACTACCCAACAGTATAAAGTAGTGCATATGTGCTCAACTTTTACAACAAGATATGCAACATAAACATTAACGAAGCAGTAATATTAATGCAAAAACATGATGAATTATAGAAGAAGAAATGACAGGGACCCTTTTACTAGTATAAATAAGTGTGTACATTTTAAGTATTTACATGTTAAGTGTACTTTAATGTGGTATTTACTCTTATAATACGTTTTTGAAAGCAGGACTAGTGTAGTAAAGTGTTCTTACAGTGTAGTATTGATAATTTGACTTTAGTAAATGACATACATACTTTCAGAATGTAACCACAGCTTATCACCATACTTCCTGTTTTCATTATCATCTATAGTTTCTTTATATTTTCATCATGTCAAGTTCATTTAGTGTCAGAATCAGTTTTAAAGGGTCAGTTTGAGATGAGACACAATGAGAAACGGTAGGCCCTTTTGAATGACACAACATGACTTCCACATTACTTAGAAACCTCGTCTACTCACATGCTGTAGGAGTCATACAGATATGTTTCACCCTCCACTGCTGTTGATATCTAGCTAGCCCTGTCACTGAGGTGTTTCTCAGCGACGTCGCGTTAGCCAAGCTAACTTAGCAAAGCACAGTTCCAGTTTAAAACCGTTAACTTAACCACCGCTGCGCAGCTTCATTCTTACCTGATCGAGCTGTGAATGGAAGCTCAAAGAAACCTACATACACCTTAATCAAAATTCAATTGATGTATTCCTCTCAAGAGAAAATAACTTCAGTGGGCTGCGGCAGCGCCTACTTCTATTGCTGTACTTCCGCAATCAAAACAACTTCCTTCTACTTCTTCTGTGGTTTTACTGGCGGACTACACTTCATCGTTACAAGTGCACGCCGCCACCTGCTGTACGGTTGTGTGTAACTACATGACACTATGTAGAAGTTATAGCCTGAAGATTTCTGCAATGTATGCCTTTCCTGGTTCACAATAGGACTCTATGGGCTTGCAATTAGCCAAAAAAGCCAAAAGAAAGTAGACCCTCCGTTTTTTAAGAGCACGGATCGAGTATAATTCCTGCTCTTTGCTGGGACGTCTGACATGTGTTTTCTTTGGTTTGACTTCTTTAGTCTCATTTGATGTCAGAATTCTATATATGTAATCAAGAGAAAATGAGCAAAATATCCTTTGTTGCACAGTATGTCGCGTGTCAGTGTGTACGACTGACTGGGTGTTTCTCAATCGCGAGTAAAGCTGCTTCAGAGCCACTATTTCAAGCATACTACGTCATCGAGTGTCGCCGAAGTACTGTTCCAATCTCCAGTATACTTGGAAATCTACCGAGCCCGGCGTACTCCGTTTGGAGAAATATCGAGGCTGCACATGAGTAGACTTCGCGGTCTTAAAATCCCCACAATGCTTTGCGCACGGACCAATTTCCCCAAATCTGTGGCGGAAGATGTAAGGCCGGGCCTCTCATATGACGCACACCTGCACACTTGCTAGCGTGTTCCACACTTCCTTTTCCGAATGCCAGGAAGTATTCTTGACTCGCTTCTGAAGCAAGATGCTCGGCAGACATGTGCTACCAAGCAAGCGTACTCGCGATTGAGAAACACCCATTGTGGCTCCGGCGGGGTAATGCGTAATCACTGCGCACATTTCGTTTCCAAATTCAAATGTACTTTTTTAAATCCCATTACGTTCATCAACATGCAGTAAAACTATTAATCCAAAGAGAGAATTAGGTCAATGTTGTTTGTGTTTTTTTATTTTTTATAAATACACAGTAATTTTGTATTGCCTTCTTTTGTGGTGCAGTCAAGCCCACAGGAAGTGCGCCGGACTCTGAGGAAAATCTTCGTTGTGGCCAAACGGCGGTACTACACTTCCGTATCAGTCGCTGGGCCCGGAAAGACTTTTCCCCATTGACTAACATTGGGAAAGAGACGTCTGTAAATCGTTGGATAATTTTTTTTAAATTACATAAACTACCCAGTATGAACATTTGTATAGCCCTTATTAAAAACATTCGGTCTTCAAGTTGTAAAATGTGCTAACGTTATTCTGAGAGTTATTTTCCTCTGCATTATGAACGCGGATCTAACCCACGGGCCCGCCGCCCGGCACGTTCATGTGACGTGTTCAGTACTATATGAGTTTTACCTTTACCCATGGATGCACAATAAGAACGGATTATATGATTATATGAATACTTTCGTGACGTTTCGCTCTCTCAAAAGTTGGGCCATTTTGTCTTCATGCACCAATGAGCAACTCTCATAGGAATGAACGAGGCCCCGCCTCCCACGCTGTATCCAGTTCATCCATGGGTGCAGTGCAAATAAGAACTGGATACAAACTAGCTGCACCTTTACCAGCTTTGAGAACACTTTAATGATCAATCATTATAAAACATATCATAGCCTATTATTCTTAAATGGACCAATCTGCACAATGACTACTTTTACTGTCGCTACTTTAAGTACATTTGGATGAGAATAGTTTTCTACTTTTACTTGAGGAACATTTTGAATGCAGGAATTTTACTGTAACAGAGAATTCCTACACTCTGGTACTTCTACTTTTACTCTAGTACAAGATCTGAGTACTTCTACTTTTACTCAAGTACAATATCTGAGTACTTCTACTTTTACTCAAGTACAAGACCTGAGTACTTCTACTTTTACTCAAGTACAAGATCTGAGTACTTCTACTCAAGTGCAATATCTGAGTACTTCTGTTGTACTCAAGTACAATATCTGAGTACTTCTACTTTTACTCTAGTACAAGATCTGAGTACTTCTACTTTTACTCAAGTACAATATCTGAGTACTTCTACTTTTACTCAAGTACAAGACCTGAGTACTTCTACTTTTACTCAAGTACAAGATCTGAGTACTTCTACTCAAGTGCAATATCTGAGTACTTCTGTTGTACTCAAGTACAATATCTGAGTACTTCTACTTTTACTCAAGTACAAGATCTGAGTACTTCGACTTTTACTCAAGTACAATATCTGAGTACTTCTACTTTTACTAAAGTACCAGATCTGAGTACTTCTACTTTTACTCTAGTACAAGATCTGAGTACTTCTACTTTTAATCAAGTACAAGATCTATACTTATACCACCTCTGTTTATAGCCTATGAAAAAAACGAAAAACGAAGGCTAAAGCTAACGTTAGCAGATAGTGACAATGTATGCTAGTTAGCTAGCTCAACGATTCCTTAAATAATATTGCGACAGAAACATTTTTCTGTTCACATCACGCTCTGCCGCTCCAACAGGGAGCTATGCTCTGAACACCCGAACGGTAAGGCGATATGGGTCCGTTCTTATTGTGCATTCATGGGTAAAGGTAAAACCATACAGTCTATGGGTAAAACGCATGTAGTACTGAACACGTAACATAACATGAACGTGCCAGGCGGCGCGGTCCCGTGGGTTAGATGCGCGTTCATAGTGCCGAGGGAAATAACTCTCAGAATAACGTTATTAGCACATTTTACAACTTGAGGACCGAATGTTTTTAATAAGGGCTATACAAACGTTCATACTGGGTTGTTTATTTAGTTTCAAAAAAATTATCCAACGATTTACAGACTTTCCCAATGTAAGTCAATGGGAAAAAGTGTTTCCGGGCCCAGCAACCTAACGGAAGTGTAGTACCGCTGTTTGGCCACAACGAATATTCTCATCAGAGTCCGGCGTACTTCCTGGGGGCTTGGTGCAGTGACGACGAGTCCTAAAACCCGGAAGTGAGTTAGTATTTTACCCCTTCCGGTTCCCTCGTCTCAGAGTCAACAGTTTTTTGAACATGTTTTTGGAAAATACAAATAGCTCGAAATAAAGTCTGTGGTTAACACACATGTAAGAGGCGGATCACGTGTTGTTCGACGACATTAAATACATCAGCAGTGATTGTTAGCTAGCGATGAGCTAATATTGCTACGCAATGGTTTGTTGCTTTGCTCCGGGTTGCAGCCACAAGTCTTCGCATGGAACTTGCTCGTTCTATCGTTTCCCGACAGATGTTGTCCGAAGGAGAGTCTGGACTCGTGTTATACGGTAAGATAAGAGATAAGATAGTACTTTATTGATCCCAATTTGGGAAATGTTTGCGTTGCAGCGGCATAAAAAGTACGGAGCCCCTAAAGGTTCATGGAGAAGAGAAAAAAAAGCATCTCGTTCGCACGATATACTTTCTCGTTTGCCAAGTAGGAAGTGGAGCGTGGAGAAATGGCAGTGCATACATTATTTTAGATATATTTCAAACTCCGACTTCATTTTAGGTACATTTCGGCCAGAGGTGTAGAGCTATTTGTTTAAGCACCGGATTCGCAAAACAGGAGAGTCTGTGTGAACCAGTCTGCCTTGATCTATGAATTAATGTCCGTGACTCACAGCTGAATAGAGATCGAGGCTGATACGTTTTAACCACACACACACCGAACTGCCCGATTATTCCGTGTGTGCGTGTGTGAGAATATATATAATAATAATTAATCTTAATGTAGTGCTTAGTCCTGTCGGAGCTGCACCGTCCTGTCGGAGTGCACCGGAACGAACGCCACGATCATAATATATTCTGAAAACAAATGCCCACACACACAAACACAGACGCCTTGGCGACCGGACATCTTCTTCATAAAACTAATAAAATTGCGTAATAATCCGGCAGTTTGATGTGTCTAACCATAAGAAAGTATCTTGTGCGAACGAGAAAGTATATCGTGGGCATGAGATACTTTTGTTCTTCTTCCATGAACCTTTAGGCTTAGGGGCTCCGTAAAAAAGACATGGCATTGTACAATAAAAATTCAAGACAATAAATAAACAAGAAAGTAGAAAATATACATGTTGAATTTACCAAGGTGTTATATATACATACATATATGACAGATGAAATATTGAACAGATTATATAAATGTACAATGTGGCTTTATTCCAAGAGAAACTATGGAGCAGTGAGTTCTCTGTCTTAAACTGTTAATTGTAGGAGCATTTAAATGATGATTTATTTTGTTTGCAACTGTCAGATATGTGTGCTCTTATATGTGACGGTGTAACTTCCATGAAACTAATATTTGATATCTCGAACATTTTTCTCCCAACAGACGAGCTGACAGGAAGCCCGGTGCCCATTCCCGCATCTGCAGCTGTCATTTTCCTAAAGGAAAGGAAAAAATGCCTGTTTTATTTGTAGCCCAGAATGTTGTCAAACTAAATAGAGAAGATCATTCCTACTGTCTGAGAGGGAATGACACTCAAATTCAGGGAATAAAGGAAGAAGCTACGTGTCTAATGACTGAGGAGGAAGCAGATCCATTTACACAGGCGGCTAATAATGAGTATCTTCGACCACTATCTGAGGATCCTCAACCACTATCTGAGGATGATGAGAAGCCAACCACCAGTGAAACGGTAGAAGAAAAACTTCAATCTGAGCAAAGACACAGAATGCAGCTAGAGATCCAGCTAGAGGAATCCAAGGCAGAGTTGAAGTCCCTCAAAGATAAGCAGAGTTACTGCCGTGACAGGTATTCTGCCTCTCAGCTGAGTGAAAAGGTTCTTCGGATGGAGACAGGATTGCCAGATAGAGACACATTCAGATCTGTATGTGAGTATTTTGCTCATTTTGAGGGTTCCATTACATACCCAGCTGGTTGGAGCCCCAAAACACTGAGTCTTGAAGACCAAGTTTTCATGACCCTCATGAAACTGCGTCATAGTTACACACACCTTCATCTGGCTGCACTCTTTCACTGCAGTATAACCACTGTCAGAAATGTGATCGACACATTTATAGACATTCTCCACAAATTACTTTTTATGGACACAATGAAAACTGTTCCCAGCCGGAAGAAAAATAAAACCAGCTTGCCTTCTTCATTTCGGCTCATCCGCAGAATGATATTGGATTGTACGGACATCACAATTGCTATGCCCAAGCAAATGGATATTCAGAAAGAGTTTTCTGGTGTGTAATATTTGTAATAAAGATTTCATGTGACACATCAAATTGATTTGTTGATGGGAATTAATGTCACTAATATGAATAAATGAACTCTAGGTTAACGGTACTCTTCCCTTTCTTACTATCACTACTCACCGACACTCTATAGACCTTGTCCCTCATGCTTGCCCTGACAACATGGTAAGTACACCTTCATCTAGGCTGCACTGCTGTACATGTCCTGACTTGTAGTGGTTCTCTCCTCTATCTACACTCTGTCATCTTTGTAAAATGATATCAGACTGGTAATTGAAACAGTCATGACTTCCAGTTAAATTCAGTGTGGCTAAAAGGAAAAGCTTTGTTAAAATATGCAAGCGCGCAAAATTCAAATACAAGGTGAAAATGTGACGTTGAAGTCGTGCGACCCTGCTGTACTCGGCTGTAGTTCAGTTATAGCATAACGTTAGCATTTTGCTTCTTCCGATTAGATTTATGATTCGAAAATGATAAAAGTAGGGTAGACATGTGGAGATTACAATATTCCAAAATCCAGTGGAGAAATCCCGTTGCTTTTTGTCGAGGGAACACTTGCGCAGCTTACTTCCGAGTCGGCCTACAAAAATACGTCATCACTGCACCACTATATTCATGATGTTGACATAGCGGTCCCCTACTGCAAGGTTCTTGGTAAAAGTCAGTTCATATCTTCTTATGGATGTCTATTTCCCCCCCAAAAAATGTACTGTACCAAAAACAAATGATCTTTTCATTAGGCTACATCACCTTTGAAATATATTAAAATACCCATTTTTCCTTTTATAAATAATGTCTAATATTTATTTTGCATTTTAAGTCTTTCCAGTGTCTTTTTTGCAGTATATTCTATGTACGTTTAAAAGACTCTTATTTTATAATTAAGACATTTGTTTCCAACATGCCAAATCCAATGTGGCCCCACTTGGCCTAAAAGTGGCCTAACTCAAATCTAAAGTAGTTATTTATGTACATAATGTGAGACTTTAACTGTATGTACCCTTACTTTACAGGAGTACTGGAGAGGCTATAAAACAGTAGAAATATTGATCTGTATATATTACTGAAATATTGGAATGTTTCGTTAGAGGTGATGGACAACTTTTTTACCACAAAGATGGTCGCCTCCGCTAGTGTCCCTGAGCACCTGCTGGTAGATGCAACACAAACACATACTGAGTGTCGCTATAACTGAAAGAGTTTCTAAATACATAAAAAAACTGAAGTTTTTTTTCTAAAATTGTCCTCAGAATCAACAATTGTGAAGGCATTTTTTTTTATGGAAGAATATAAATTCATTTCAGGCAACAATGATGTTTAAAAACATTTAATTCATTTAATTGATACTATAAAACTCTTAAGTAAAAAAAAATGTCACTTATATATACTGCAATGCTTTGGGAATGGATGAATGCTGGTCAGCTTGTAAGTAAAGAGTCACCGAACACGTTCCCATATGAGGTTTTGAGAAAATGTACATAGTTCTGCAGACTGCGGTTAGTAGAGTCGGACTGCTCCAGTCTGTCCTTCATGTTCTGCTGCTGACTCTGGAAACGACGCTCCATCTGAAAGAAAACAGAAACAACACATGAGAACTAACGGTTTGTATGTCCAACATGAAATTCCAAAGACATTGAGACATACCTCCTCCTTGCTCCGCTGCAGCTGACTCTGCTCTGTTTTGGCTCGGCTCAGCTGGCTCTGCAGGTCCAAAGCTTTAGACTGAGACGCTCTCTCTTTGACCAAAACCTTCTGCATGCTGGCGTCCACCTTCAGGGAGGAGAACGTGTTCAGTGTACCCCTTGTCATTTATTAAGGACATTCAGTATATTCTAAATAATAAAATGTTTGTGTCTACCAAATGCAGTCTTTTTTTTATACGTGTCAAGTGTTTAGAAACTTGAGGAAGGGCCCTCTTGATTGAACATTGCATGTCATTTATTTGAATATAAATCAGCTCAGATATAATTAGATCAAAAATATTGCAGTCAATCAAACCACACAAACATGGAGGGTCTTTTGTGGTGTAACTTAAACCTTGGTCCCTGCACATTTCACAGCCTCCCCAATTGGTCTTTGCCACACTCACTAAATAGTCCCAAACTAGTAATTCCAGGCTTGAAATGCATATATAAACATTGTTCTATTATTTTATCCCTCATTGTACACTAACTTCTTATCTTTATATAAATATTTGTATTCTATTTCAATTCATTTTTTTTTTTTAATTTTATTTGAATTCATTCAATTTTTTCCCTTTTTTAACCAATTATTTTTGAATTTCTTTAATATATATAGGTTTATTTTATATTTTTTATGAACATTCTTACTTTAACTTCTTGCATTTAAATACATATTTTTGTATTTTTTTGTATTATCTTTTATTCTATAATGGAGCAACTGCTACAAAACCCAATTTCCCCTGTGATAAATAACGTTTTCTGATTCTGAAAAAGCGGGATAGGCAACAGTCAGGACTGTAACAAGTGTAGGGAAGGTGTAAAAAGGGTCTGTCTGTCTCAGACCTGTCTCTGTGCGTCGTCCAGAGTTGTCTGCAGCTGTCGGGACAGGAAGCTGACCTCGTGGCTCTTCTCCTCCAGCTGCTGCTGAACGCTGCGAAGACTGGCCTCCTTTGATGGCAGAGCCTCAGACATCTCTTGGTTTTCTACCGTCAAGTCCTCCAGCCTCCTGCAACAAATAACACAAAGATCTACAGCTGCAGTTTGGAAAATGTTCCCCTATAAAGACCGTCTGTATAATGTGCTCTATGTTCCTACAGTGGTGACCCTGTCCGCTAACTGCAATTTCTTACATAAGTTAAAGGTCACATATTATGCAAAATCCACTTTTCCATGTCTTGTATACATACATATGTGTCCCCTCAGAGATTCTGAAAGATTCAGGAAAAAAGATTCACTCACTTTTTGTCCTGATCCATTTATATAAAAACCTGTCTGAAAATGAGCTGATCAGATTTTGGCCACTTTATGATGTCATAACGATGTTTTGGCTTGTGTAACCATTAGCCAATAACCAACCAAGGTAACATCCGACAACCTTATCCCCTGAATCTCCTCCTAGAGCACAATTGTGCTCCTTATTTTCATCTAAAGTAAAAGACAGAGAATCAGCACTTTTGAAACAGGGCTGGCACAGAGGGGATTATGGGATGCTACAATGCACGATCTGTTTGGTATTTCGAGTCAAACACTTCAGAGACATGTTTTGTATAGAACTGAAAACTATAATATATTGAGGCAAAAGAGTATAAGTAGTAGTAGTAGTAGTAGTAGTAGTAGTATAACCTTTATTTAGCCAGGAAAATCAATTAAGAACACATTCTTATTTTCAATGATGACCTGACAGGAGGCAAAAGGCTTCCTGAGGGGATGGGGGTTGGGAGGAAGAAAATAAAAAGACAGACTCCGGACACTACAGAACCCAGGAGACAACACAATGACACAGAGCAGAGATGGCAGGCATAGCAGTTAAACATATAACATATCTAAAATAATACTGCTGGAGTTCAATCAGTCATTAAAATAATATAGAACATTCATCCATTCAATCATTCATGGTAATGCATACTATAGGAGAGGTCAAGACATTAGGCGCTTTCACACTGGAGTACTCTTCCCAGGAATAGTTCCGATAGTTCCTGGGATTTTGCGTTCACACCAAAAAGATCTGGAACTAGAAACTAGTTCTCCGGAACCTTTTTCTCCCCTTTTCAGTCCCTGCTAGAGGTGGTACTTTCCTGGGGAGGAAAAGGTTCCAATTTCTGATTGGCTGGGCGAATTGCCCCGTAAAACTCCGAAAAGTTTTGTGAAGCCGCCATTTTATTTGCTTGCATTAGCATTATTAGCATTAGCATTAGCCCACCAACGGAGAGAAACTAACTTATGGCAACACAAAATAAAACGTGGGAGCGGTGGAGTGATGAGGAGGTGTCGGCGCTTCTGGCGATTTACCCGGGACTTCGGGTGGCAGTATATGCCGTGAAGTTGTTTGCGGCCTGCCAGTAAACTCAAATCAGAAGAAGAAGAAGTGACGTCAGCGGCTTCATTTGCGTAATCCTCCCTCAGGGACTTATTCCAGTGTGAACGCGATCTACTAGATAGTTCAGGAATTAAAGAGTTCCGGGGAATTATGTTCCGGGAACTATTCCTGGGAAAAGTACTTGGTGTGAAAGCGCCTATTGGTAGTGAGCATCAGGTGAAGCAGCTGCATGTGTTTGTAATAGTGTCCCTGAAGGAGCGGGGGGAGATAAAGGTCTCCATCTTCAAGGTTTTTTGTATGATATTCCAGCTATCAGCTGCTGCAAACTGAAAGGCGGAGAATAGGGGACCTTTAAAGCAAATTAATCCATTGTCACGGATTAGGTGTGATGCTACACTGAGGTAGTGATGTTTACATACTGATGTCCAGATGTTTTTTATCTGTATATATTCATTTGGTAAAGGTCATTGTGTAAATGTCCGTACCTCTCAAAGTTGTGAGTTTTTTCTTTGAGGACGTTGTTCTCCTCCTGCAGCAGCAGGTTCCTCTGCTGCAACATCTCCAGTTGAGTGCCTTGCTGTTCCACCTGTGAAGAAACACAATTAATGATCAGTTCTGATGATACTAACCCCCTCCATGAAGCGCCAATCTCTGAAAATATAACAGCACTGCTACAGTTTGATTCCAGCCACGAACCTGCACCTCTGTTGCAGGCCTCTCGTTTCATTTCCTGTTCCCTCTATACTGTCAGCTTTAAAGTAAAGGTGAAATACCCCAAATCATGGAAAAAATATAAATACACATCCATGCATACATCCTACATTATTACAGGAAATAAACGTTTTTTTGCAAAGAATGATTGTGGAGAAGTAAGTAAATCTTTTTAATTACAGTTTGTACTAAGAATAATATGCAGTTCAAGCATGACCTTTAAATGAGTGATTCTCTTAAATGTAAATACCTGTAGCCAGAATTGTCCAACTGTTTTAATATTTACAAGAATGCCAATTGGGAACTGAAGACTTGTTTGCAAAAACCTCAGGAAACTTAGGGGTTAAATAATTGTGTCAGCCGACATCACTTGCAGTTAAAGGGGCCCAATTGTGCTTTTGGGGTTTTCCCTTCCCTGTAGTGTGTTATATAGGCTTTTGTGCATTTAAATGGTCTGCAAAGGCAGTTTCTCTTCCACACTCTCCCCCCCTGCCTGAAACACCTCCATTGAACTCCTTTGTTTACTTCCGTTACATAGTGACATCACTATGTAACACTTGCCTTTCTATTTGCTCCAAAATGTTTTTCTCTGCTGAAGAAATGCTTTAGGGCACGTTTACACGAAGAAATTAACATCTGCATTCTATTCATTTCGCTCTATGCAATTGGATGGCAAAACAAAAACAAAATTCATATCAGGCAAATATCGCCTCGGCTGTGACACTAAAACAAAAAAACTCGTATTAAGTAGCTCTATAACTTGGGCCCCTGTTTAGATCACTTGGTAGAGCTATCGGCCATTTACCGGGGTTCGGTTTCTCAGCACATATTATCACAAATAAAAAGATAGAAAATGAATAACATGACTCTAATATAGCAATACTTGGAAAAGGTCTCTGATTTTTATTGAATGGGTAATTATTTAAGAATACATTTTCAAAGTCACCCTCCCATCCCATGCTATCAGAATCAGAATACTTTATTTATCCCAGGAATATTGGGTTTCTTGACAGTGTCTTCATTTTATAATGAAATGAAATCAAATAAAGAATGTAAAAAAAAAATATATAAATGTATATAAACCTAAAAAGTCAAAATGTGCAATTTATCACATTATACTACAATATATTACATGTACAATATATACAGTGTTGTATAAGTATGAATAAGATATTAGTGCTGAATTGAACAGTTTAAAAGGGTTCGGCTGCTGGTGGTGAAGGATATATAAGTATATACCGGTTAGAGCCAGTTAGTATAATGATGTATATAAAGGGATCTGGAGTACCTTGTGTCTGACCTCAGAGAGGGCGGAGTTGTGCTCCACGTTCTTCCGCTGGTGGTCCTCTGCCTCCTGCTGGGCGTCTCTGAGCTGCTGCTCCGCCCTGCGCAGTCTGTCGGGCAGCGCCTCCATCTCTCTGAGCCGGCCCAGCAGCCCCCTCCTCACCTGCTCCGTCCCCCTCTCCAGGCTCAGCTTCACCTCCCGCGCCTCCCTCTGGGTCGTCTCCAGCTTCAGGAGGTTCTCCTCCGACTCCAGACGCACCTGCTGGACCTGCACGGAGGAGAAGGACGTCACTTCATCACAGTACAGTTTAAAAGCACTCAGCTTTCAACCCTTAGCAACCTTTCCAAGTTAACACTACTGAGTGTCGTGCTCTGCCATGATATTTTAATAGACTACACGACAGGGGAAGATCAATCAACCTAGCACTTTTATTATGATTTGTGTATTGTGTGTGAACTGTATGTTGTCTAATCTTCAATACTTTTATTGTCTATATAGTTTATTTTATAATCCCTAAACTATGTTGTTAACTTTTCTTTCACTTTATTGGGACATTTTTGTTTTGAAAAACATACTTTTTTTTAGGTTAAAACCCCCTTTTTCATCTTTTTTTGATTGTATATAATTCTATGCTTGCTAAATGTTTAAACATTGAACAGTTTCTTGTAATATAATATAACCCAAATGAAAAGGCCTATTCAACAGATTGAATGTTTTGGTATCTTTTTATGTATTTAAAGTCTTTTATTTTATTTATTTTAATTTCTTTAGTTTTGATTATTATGCTTATTTCTACTTATTTCGAATATTTTAGTGTTTCTCACTCAATGTTTTGTATATCTTATTTTAATTAGATATATTGCTCTCCTGTATTGTGTATTTTGAATTGTTTGGCGGATTACATTTTTGTGAGAAACAAAACAAAAAACATAATAATTCATATCCAATCGTTTTCTTAAACTTATTCTGAGGTATTTTGTTGTTCCCCGGGCATGTTTGCAGATATCTGTTTGTTTCTACATCAACTTTGCATCCAAGGACTTATAAAAACCTTAAAGTGAATCTGTGCATGGTGCAGATCTTTGGTTAGCTGATTTCAATCTCTGTGGAGCTCGTCACTCAGAACTTGACTTTACCTTCTTCTTGTATTTCTCTACCAGTTGTTCCTGCTTTTTAATTGACAACTTCATCCGACGGGCTTCAGACTGCAGCGCTCCGAGCTTCTCCTCAGCGGATGTCAAGTGACCCTAAATACGGCACAGAAATAAGGAAACCGTAAAAAGCTTTCCAAAACTTTAAAACCCATAAAAGCTTTAAAGGTCCCCTATTATGCAAAATGCACTTTTTGACATAATATGGCATTTAATCACGGCAGCGTTTAGCTGAGTATATGGGTAGAATTCTCCTGCATGAGCTCTCCTCTCTTTTTTTTTCTAAAGCTACGGACCCAGAATCAGCACTTCTCTAACAGGGCTGTATTTTGAGCAAAACACTTCATAGACATGTTTTTGATATATCTGAGACCTATAATATATGCCTAAAAATAGTATAATAGGAGACCTTTAAATAAAACAGTAAAAGGCAGTCCTCCATTGATAGGACATTGACCTAGAAACATGTTATTATTCCTAATAGAATAATGCGATGAATATTGGGCTTTTAATTGATGAATGCTTGAACACCGCCTTATGTGATTTGAAGTTGTGAGAAACTCAAATCCTCTGGGGAGATTTCTAAAGGTACCTTGAGTCTTTGGTTGTCCACATTGATGGAGGTGTTTTCAGCACTGAGATGATGAAGCTTCTCCCTGAACTCCTCCTCCTCCGCCCGACTCCCCACCTCCACCGCGAGACGCTGAGAGCTCAGCTCCGTCACCTGACTGGGAGGGAAACAGGCCTGTAAACCTTGTTCAAAAGTTATGTGTCTCCTTCAAAGAAGCCTGATTTGGTACAGCCAGGCTTATAAGAGGACTACTTTATATTTCTAAATGGTCTTTCACGCTTTCAGGTTGCAGAAAGTCCTCTATGAAAGTCAGCTTTGTTTTTGTTTTTTAAAGGTTATTTGATATTCAATTATATACTTGTTGTCACAATCATATTTGTATATATTTATAATAACATAATTTTTATAATTTATAATATATATATTATATATTTTTTTCACATCGCATAATTTAGATTTTTTATCATGGGGATTATTTTCTTCTTCTTTGTGTGTTCCAGCAAGAATTAATTAATCCATTAAACCAGTTATATTTTGTGAATAGACTGTAACTGTGTCTTGAAGTGCTGACCTAAATTCTGTCTTCACTTTAAAGTCACAAATCTAAGTTCTATCATGAGAAATCCTCAAAAAAAAAGAAGAAATATGAAGTGGTTTTAAGGAGCTTTCTGCTGTGCATACTGATATTCACAGAAACAAGAATACATTTGTGTCTGACATGTTCTCACAATCTGAGAGCAGAGACGTGCTCCTCCAGCTGGGCTTTAGCGGCGGCCTCTCTGGAGCAGCGGAGGCTCCAGTCCCTGGATGTGGACAGAGCCTGGGCCAACTGGGATTCCTGAAACAAAACACAGGGTAGAGGTGGTAATTAACTAAGTACATTAACTCAAGTACTGTACTAAAGTACAATTTAGAGGGACTTGTACTTTACTTGAGTATTTCCATTTTATGCAACTTTGTACTTCTACTCCACTACAATTCAGAGGTAAATCATGTATAATTACTCCACTATGTATTTAATACCTTTGGTTACTTTGCAGATTTGGATAAATGATGTGAAATATAATGAACTCTTAAATCAGACTTTAGTTACACCTGGAGTAAATTCACAATCCTCCCTGCAGTATACAAAGTCATTCAAACTAGCTGCACCTTTACCAGCTTTGAGAACACTTTAATGCATCAATAATTGTAATCAAAACATATGATATATATCATTCTGAAATAGCCAATCTGCATAATGAGTACTTTTACTTTTGGTACTTTAAGTATATTTTGATGCTAATACTGTTGTACTTTCACTTGACTAACATTTTCAAAGGTCCCATGTTTTGGCCATTTCTACTGATCATAATTCCATTGTTGAGGTCTACATTGGTTTTCTCGTACAGCATCTCTGTGTAGTATGTGTATTCACTCTCTGTCCTACACGCCTTGTTGGAGCTCCTGCCCCCACCCTCCCTATGAGCCCACTGTGCTCTGATTGGTCAGCCAGAATAACCAGAAAAAGCATATGATGGGACCTTTAATGCAGGACTTTTACTTGTCACAGAGTATTCCTACACTCTGGTACTTCTACTCTTACTCAAGTCAAATATCTGAGTACTTCTCGCACCTCTGCTTTTAAGTTATTTCACAGATATGATGTACTGTACTGACCTTTGTTGTATATTTAAATTCTTATAAACAGTTCCTTTCATATTTTAACTTGGTTATAGGTTTTTTTAAATAGCTCTTAAGGTAGTTTTATGTTTACAACTTAATTCCTCCTATTGTGTAAAACCATGGTACCTAAGCAAACAGACCTCGTGGTGTACACTGTGATACTTCTCAATGCTGACCTTCTCCTGCACTTTCTCTGCGAGCTGCCTGGTGTTCTCCTCCGCTCGCTCGGCCTTCTGGGTCAGCAGGGTCAGCTCCTCCTGGTCCTGCCGCTCCTGCTCCTCCTGCTCCTCGTCTTTCCGCTGCCTCAGGGTCTGCAGCTCCCCCTGCAGAGTGTGCCGCTCCTCCTGCTGCAGCTCCTGGCTCTGCTGCATCCTCTGCTCCACACAGAGTGGGAAACAAACTTTCACATCCAGCGATTCTTCACTGGAGTTTTCTTTTCATGACACTTTTTTTTTTCTACTTCTCTACATTTTAGAGAAAAATATTGTACTTTTTAATTGACTACATTTCTCCGACAGATTTTAACTATCTTTGTTAATGGACTTTTGACAGCAATGGCAAAGCAGTCATTGTTGACAGTGTCATGTTAAAGTAGTACGATACAAAGCAAAACAATATAATACATTGCAACGACAAGGACAACACAAACAGTCTGTTTGGTCATACTTTCCATCTTCAGAAAACATAAAGATCACACCTTTAAAGGTCAGAATTAAAATAAAATAAAGTAAAATGGGATCTTAATCTGGCATAAGCTTTAGTTATTTAATCTTATTGAATGATTTTCTAAATATCTAAGGCCGTATATGCTGCTCTAACAGTCTGAAAGCGATGAAAAGGCTCAAGTAAGAGCAGCCACATTTTTATATTCTGAAGGACTGGGTAACATTTCATAAAAGCAATCAGTCTGTAGGGTCACTATCTTGCTTAATATGCTACTTCCAAGATCAATCGAAGAAGCTTTTTCATCCATAATGTGTATAATGAAACAGGAATTGTTTGCAAAGTTTATATGATTGTTTTACACTTTGTTTCTTATCTTTTGACATAGGCTGTATATAAGAATAGGATGTAGTCACTAAACGAAACAGTGAGCTGGAGCGAAGTACAACTGAACAAGAGAATAGGAAAATACATTTTTAGGCAACTAAATTGTTATAAATAACTTTTATGAACTGAAACAAATTGCAATATATTCCAATTACTATATAGATATTTTTTGCAACATTATTCACATAACCGTAAAATATATTACAATTATCATGATTAATTTAAAGAGGATTTATACCAAACCTTTAGGTTTTGTTAGGGTTGTAGACAATGATTTGTAGGCGATAATGAACCTTTAAACAAATATTTCAATTTCCTGCATTTTGAAAATTGCACTAGTCCATACTTCAATTTTGATATCATGTAAATAAATTGTGCAGCCCTACTTGTAATATCAACAGCAGCACCCAATGAAAGTCCTTACCAACAGGTCCACCTCCAACAGTTCAAGTGTGTTTTTAGTGTTCACAGACCTGAATCTGAGCATCCAGATGGATCTTTTCCGCTTCTGCTCTGCTCAGCTCTGATTCTAGATGGCCGTGGCTTGACCGCAGGATTCTTGAAAGCTCCTCCGTCTGCTTCACGTTTTCCTGCCAGGACAGAGAAAGGTGATGCAGAATGTATATTTGTAAACACCTTAAAAGTTTCATATTTGTATTTAGTGCCTCTACTCTCTAGTTAACTCTATGTTAACATGCTTTAATGTTCCAAAAGCATACTGCCTGTGCTGCAGCACCTCTTTTCACCCTCTGTCTGAAACCAGAGCCCTGTCTGCTCTGATTGGTAAGCTGGCCAGCTCTGTTGTGATTAGTCAACCGATAAGAGATGTCCTGCACCTTAGCAGGGTATATGCAGGAATCCTGAAGTCAAATGTAATACCTTTTAAGACCTTTTTTAAGACCCTTTCCATACATTTTAAGACCTCATGGCCACTTTGAGTTTTAACCGGTTACATTGGCGGCACACTTTACCTCACATTTACTATATACAGTATTGACTGTCCTTCCTCCTTATCTTCCAACCATTTGGACGCAGACTTGCATTTCCCCATAACGATGTTGCTTAACAACCGGCGTAAACGGACCTTCGCACGCCATCGAGCAGTGAGCGTGCGATGTCCTGTTCAGATGACGTCAAATCCAACGGGATGCCATAAATAAACTACACGGAATCACACTACACACCTACGCAATGATTACATTCAGGCAAACTGTAGAATACAATCTCTTTGGACAATTTATATACTTATTGAAAACAAGCTACAAAATGTAATACTTGGAAAATGCCGTTTAGTACTTTTTAATAGCCTTCATTTTCGCTAAATTGATTGATCAACTTTTAATACTTTTTAAGACCCCGCGGACACCCTGCTTAGCCTTTCATGTACAATGTGTTGGGGCGCTAGCTAATATAAGTGCGAGTGACACATTGTGATGTCACTATGTTACAGAAGTAAACAAAGTAGTCAAATTGTGAGAGAAACTCTCTCTGGAGGAAACTTTTGGATTGTAGCCTTTGAAGACCATTTACATGCACAAAAACCTATATATTTACCACACTACAGGAAAGGGAAAACCCAGAAAGCATAATAGGGCTTCTGTAAAAATATGTGTGGGAGAAATGAACATATTTCTACCAAGTCATGACAAAATAAAAGATTTGAAAACCTTTTGTCTTTGAGTAGCACATGCTAAGTTTCAAACCTTTTCGAAGTTCAAATGCTCAGCGAGCTTCGAAGCCTCATTCTCTTTGTTGGTGAGTTTTGTCAAAAGTCGCTGTAGGAGAAAAAGAAAAACATGAAACAACTCCTCAGATGCAGCGCTGCACATGCTGGGTGATTAACACTCACAATGTTCTCTGCTTCACTGGCAGTCAATCTCGTCTTTATGGCATCTTTCTGTTGTATCCACTCCAAGGATTCTCTCTATGGATAAAACATAGTATGCTTATAACAGGCAGTAGACATGTATTGCATGTTGGCATTTCTTTTTATCTCCTCGAGTTGTTTTCTACTTCCTGTACCTCATATTCACCCCAGTCTCTGAGGAGCTCTCGCAGGCTGTGATTCGTGTGGTCAAACATCTCAATCTTTTCTAGCAACAAGTCCTGCTGCCGTGCCAGTGAAGATGCGTGCAACTTTGACAGCCTCTTGTCCTGAGAACATAAATAAAGTCACAATCATGTACAGCAAAAAGCCCCCACCAATCACTCATCTTTCATCTGTCCCTCCAGGTTTACCTTAGCGAGGCTGTCGATAGTGTCCTTCAGGGCTGTCAGCTGATTGGCTACTGCTACACCGTCGATTTCTGCCTCTACAAGCGCCCTCAGGAGCTCGTCGGTCTCTCTGTGTTGACTTCTGGAATCAGACCTGTGAGTAAGAGGGAAACAATCTAAGTGAGATTAGGTTAGTGATCCCCAGAAGAGATATTCAGGTGTTGTAACAGCCCAAAGACAGATATACAAAGACAATAAAGTAAATAGAATATAAAAAAATTGATAATGATGATTAATAAGTAAGTAAATAAATAAGTAAATATATAATTTTTATTTTTCCATGCCAAATGAAGGACAATGTTAAGTGATAAAGTGACAATGGTGTGGTTTAAAGCATCAAGTCAGAAAGTCTGCTATATCTTACATCATAAGATGATGTTAAAGTAATGATACTAAGTGTTTTTTGTTATATATGTTCTGTATATAAGATAATATAATTCAATATATAAGTCAGTCAGCTTTAAAGGGGCCCTATTATTCTCATTTTCATTTATACGTTGTGCCTCTGCTGCGACATCTTTACTCCAACAAGAAACTCCCTCTGGCGTGAACTATGGGATTTTAGCCCTTGCAGACTATGAACATGTACAAAAACCTACAGGAAGGAAAACCCCTTTAACGCTTCCATAATCCTAACAGTGGTATGAATTTCAGAGGATTATCAAGCTATAAAATGTGTATAAGTATTATAAGCAAAATGTTATTGGCTTCAAATGTTTCCAGTACACTTATGCAGACTGTCACGACAAAAGTCTGGATTTAGGCCTTATCACCAGCAAACCTCTCCTGTGTGATGTTATATTGATTTTGAGGGGAATGACAACAGCAACAAAACTAATGCCAACTAAAAGTATCTGAATGGAATGTGTCCTTGTCTTAATGTTGAACAGTTGATGTATCCACCAAAAAAAGGCAATTCATAACTAAATAAAATATGAAAAGAACATAATTTAAAGTTGTTTTGAACACTATTAAAGTAATTTGGAGACGGCTTCCTCTGACAGGTGGCATGCGGCTGATGCGGTGCTTACTTCTTTAACTGGCGGATGCTGTCTTGCTCTCTGAGGAGGACAGTGAGATGTTTGGATACTCCGGCGAGTTCTTCTTCCTGCTCCTCTTCATCCCACTGATGTCCGATTCCACTTCCCGATCGATGCTCTACTCTGCTTCTCTGCCAGTGAGACAAAAATTAACACAACTTACAAAATGTTTTTACTATAGGGCAAAACAAAAATATCCTGTACTCTCCTTCACTGCATTCATTTGCAAGCACATTTATTTTTATTTGGCTCTGGTTGAAAGCATTGCATTGATAGATAAACACTATGAAAATACCTGTCTGCAGGACAGGATTCCTGGAGGAATCCACGGCATACGGACCTTTGGCCGCCCGCCATCTCCCCTCACCTGGGTGTCTTTTGCTTTCATCTGAAGGGGGAATCCACAGGTAAAACACATTGAACTTATTGTAACATCTTCACTCTCACCATCATTTAGTTTATTTATTGTTAACACTTTAAAAAGCATGTTAAAAGGTAAAAACTACATACAAATCAGGCAGAGGTGATACATTTGTATCCCACTTTCTAATTCTACTTCTCTACATTTCTGAGGTAAATATTGTACTCTTTACGCCACAACTTTGCAGATTCCGAATATAAATGACAGAAACATAATAAACAAGTTAATGTTATTTAATAGTACATTTTAAGATCAAGCTTTATTGACTTCTGGGTGGAAATTCACAATATACCCAACAGCAGTATATGAAGTAATACAAATTAGCTCCACTCTTAACTCACAACTTTAAAGTGAAGATGCACGAATAATATCATGTAATTTTTTCCTGAAATAGGTCGCTCTGCATAATGAGTACTTTTTACTTTTGGTACTTGAAGTATCTTTTAACAACAAAACTGTTCTCTTCTTTTGCTTCAGTAACATTTTAAAGCAGTACTATTTATAACCACTGTGAATTTTACACATCAGCTAGTTAAACCCTAAACAATATAAAAACCTGTATTTCCAGTATAATGAACAAACAGCATAATAACCTGAGGGGTCCTGCAGGGACTCCTCCTCATATGAACATGTACAGGTGTGGTCTCCGGTACATGGACGTGGACCGGCGGCGGTGGTGAATCCCGTGTTTTCATTCTTTTAGGATGTTAAAACATAACACAACAACACAAACACAAACAAACTGTCATTAGAAAGCCTAATGGGTAGTTTAATGTTACCGTGCTAAATTAGCAGCTACATGCTTTCAGGATAAATCTCGTCGTTTGTCTCTCTTCTGCTGTGGAGCAGACGGTTGTTTGGATTTACAAACGACCTCTCTGATTGGCTCATTTGCAGTATCTTCGTCTGTGATTGGTGGAGGCGAGTTTACGATAAACGTTGTCCGTGGTAACCACAGAGAGAAACGGGTGGTTAATCATTATTTTAATTTAAAGATTCAGATTAGATGATGTTTTGTTTAAGATTAAGCTCCTAAACTATATTAAATATTAAAATTAGATTCCAGCTTGACTATGAGCAACATTAAAGTAAATAGAACAGTAATTAAAAACCATTAACACATAATGTATTCCTACACTATGGTAGTACATTTAAACCTCATGCGGTGAAATGCAACACAACATTAGTGCTTCAGTCATATTAATCAATAAACAGTAAAACACATGTATCTGCTGACTAAATATTACTATTCATACACTATACCAATAAAACTAATACTTGTAATACTAAACTGCAGAACAGCTTTTTGGTAAATGTATAAACATGTTCACATAATCCACGTGTGCTAGTTTGAAAGTAAATAAACGATAACACACTGGATGTATGAATGTGTGAATTTAATGTACTCTCGCTGATAATTCGATATATAAAGATGCCTAAATCTCACACAATCAAACGTTTTTAATAACCTTGACATCATAAAACAAGTGACTATTTGCAGGACTTTTAGTTGTGTTGTTAATAGACTGTATAGAAACGGTGATGTTGTACTGCGATGTAGCCACTGTTAAAGAAGGACATTGTTGAGATGACGGCACTTCCGCCCATAAATTAGCCTGTGGAGCTAGCAAACTATTCTCTTCTTAAATGAATGATGATGTAGAAGTATATGTACACTAAAAGTGTGTTTTTTAGTCGGATTTAAAATACTCCTATGATTAATCTGCTGCACCTTGGACTGGTATACGATAAGGAAGCGACATCGATGTTAGATCACTTCAGCTAAAAACACCCAAATGCTAAGGAGTTTAAGCTAAGCTAGTTTGTGATTAGCCTTCCATGTGCGTGGGGGGCAGGAATGATGCAGGACATATTTATAATAATGCAGTATATTTCCTTATTACTTCTGGTTTATCCTGCTGCATACCAGCCCGGTGAGGCGTGTGCTGCTGCCGGAGAGGAGGAAGGGGGCACCAGCAGCAGCCCCGCCGCAGCCCTGATACTGTGCAGGGCGTGCGGACACGAGCTGGCGGACGGGACGGACATCCACAATGTTCAGAGCCGGATGGCGCTCTCCATCCGCAACGATACGTCGATCGGGAGCCGAAGGGTTAACGTCCAGCTTTTTGAAAACCCCCACGGACACCAGTTTGAGGTGATTACTTTCAGGAAATCGGACGTTACCCTGCACTGGCCGGCAGATAAACACTTCTCCTGGTTCCCGGGCTTCTCATGGACGCTGGCTACCTGTCCACGGTGTGGAACTCATTTAGGTGCGTACCCATCACGGGTCAAATATGCAGTTTTCGTGTTATACATATATAAAGACTTCAATACTGGGAGTGGGAACTGTAACAGACTGTGTACTGTGAGATCACTTTACAACATTAAACTGTTATTTAGCTTCTTTTTTTTATGGGCATAATTGTGTAGTACTTACACTAACGTCACATAAGTCTATATTACAATATAGATGGTCTGTTAGGTAGTACTGTAACTTGAATAATGAAAGTAGCACCACCCAGGAAGAAAGTTTACGCCAATTAACTACTTTAAATAATTATATTAAATCAAGTTAAACACACTTTTGTGTTTATAGTTGTTTTGAAAGACTTATAAACATGTTGCCATCAGGATTTTGTAAAGCAAGTCTTTATAGAAAAATGCATAACTGAAGTTAAAAAAACAAGTTATGCACACACTAAAATCTTAGGAAATCTTTGTATTTCGATAGCTTCATAATTTATGTTCAATAATTAGATATGAAGACAGTCTCGATAACCGTAAGTTAGAGGGTACCAAGTACTTTTTAATTTGAAGACATTTTATTTATTTGGTGTGCAACTAAAGGAAAGTTAACACACAGACCATCTCAAACACTTTTCACTTGCCTTGAGCCATGTGCTAGATTTTACCATTAGAATGCCCGTTTATTCAGTAATAAGTATGTTTTAAATCATCTTTCTTTTTCCCCTCACTCAAGGTTGGGCCTTCCAGCCCAGTGACTGGCCGGATACAGTCACAAAAAACAGATTTGAGGAGTCGGAGCATACCTTCCTGGCTTTAATCACCCATCGTCTTTTAAGAGAAGACTTTGCTTCAAGCCTGCTTATGATTCCAAAATCCTTCAAGAGTTGATGGGACTTTCAACTGTTCAATGAACCCAGGTGCCTCTGCCACTACCAAAATATATTTTTTCAATAAATGTCTATGCACCCACATGTTAACACATTATGTTTTATTATTGTAACAAAGAAAGTTTTACACCTCAAATTTAAAATGGTTAATTTACCCCCCCCCCCCAGCAGAAAAGGAAATGTGACTTTATGTCAATTCTATGTTATAAGTCGTTTTTTTTTTTTTTTTACCCATAAAGCAGTGGGGGCCAAAATGTACAAGCTTGTTTTTTTTCCATTTTGTTCTTTATTAAAAATGTCATTTCAAATCTCATGGATATCTGTAAAACAATACAATGAAAAAAAAAGTCCCATAGAAATGGTGTCAAAATAACCACTCTCCCCAATAACCAACATACTCCTGCCCCACCCCCCCTCCCACTAAACATTACAAGTCAAAAGGAATGAGCTGGTACTCGTTAACCACATAAGGGAAAACAACAGTTTTTCATCTAGGGATGAAACCCCAACTGAAAAAAAAAAAAAATAGATGGAAAATAAATTGAAGGGTCAACTAGCGCTGGGTCACTACACCATGGCTTTAAGTCAATTTAAAACATAACCTTTAACAGTAGGAATTCAGTGTGAATGGTCTTTTAAAATTCTACTCAGGATGCCGTGCTGATTCTATTTTATTTTTTATACATTTTTTTTTTTTTTTCTAGATGACTTTGGGGATGGTACTCACAATTCAGGGCAAAGTGCCATTGGCCTAAGATGATTCAAAGAAGAACATAACATGGCACCACCAAGGTGAAGAGGCTTCAGAATGGAAAATGAAGCACACACGGATTTATTTATAAAAAAAAAGTAACCAAAAAATAAAATTAAAACCTTTGCTCCCGAATGTGAGTGGAAAAACCAAACAGGGAATAGAAGGTTTACGGTTTGGGTAGATCAAGTTATTACTTAGTCGTCTTCTCCCTCATCATCCTGAAAGGACAAGATATCAAAGTTAGCGACTTGTTGAAAACACACCACTTAAAGAAACATTTTGGACTTTATCCATTATACCTCTCCATCTTCTCCATCTTCCTCTTCGTCCTCCTCTCCATCTTCATCTCCCTCCTCGTCGATGTCCTCCAGACCCTCCTCGTCCTCTTCATCGTCCTCACCTTCCCCTTCTTCATCATCCATGTCAGGAACCTAAGAATGAAATTCACTTTGAGAATTTGTGTCTTTTAAGTCATACCAAAAGAGATAGCATGCCTCGAACCCCCAAAAAGGAATACAATAAATTAATATAAAGTCCAAAACAGGTCTGCTTATTGTGGAAAGTGGTAGCTTAAGATAGATAACCCCGTTTGTAGACATACCAGGTAGTACTGCAGGGGGTTAGGCCAGATGTCATCCTTGATGACCTCCCCGAGCTCATCAGCACCGGCGTCAGCGTGATCAGTGAACCAAGTGAAGAAGCTCTCTGGCTCTTCATGTTGCCTCTTCCTTCCGGCTTTGTTCTGTGTCTGGCTGGAGCGCTTGGTCAGGTCCTACAAACAGAGGGAGCATAAAAAAAGCATTTCAGATAAAAAATGTTCAATATGCAAGTCCTTTTGTCAGGTCATGCTGCTTTGATATTTGTTTTTGGTCAAGTACTCAAACTAGCTTATCAACTCTATTTTGCAAAAAGATTTAGAAAAAAAAGTATTGGAAAAATACACATACCTTTCCTGATTTCCATTTGATTTCTGTCGACTTCGAAGATGGGTCCCCGCTCTCATTCAAATGGAACTCTTTGGAAAGTACTTTGTTTTCGAAGTATGGATTTTCGTCAAAATACTAGAAAACAAAAACATTACAAAATGAGTAAGAATATATGAAACAACATGTACCTCCATACCGTGTGTCAGTGCGTGTCAATACTTACAAAATCTATTCTGTAGCCCGACTTGATGTCTTCAAACTCTGTCACCTCCACTCGGCTGAGGTAATGAAGTGCTTCTTCATCTTCCTCTCCCAGTAGGGCAGATACTGTGGGGGGGGGGGGAACAGACCAGACTTTAACTTGAGCCACTGTTCAAAATATTTTAACCTGGTAATGAAATAACTTCCGAATGACTAGGCTATGAAAATAAACACTTCATGTTGAGTAGCTCACCTTGTGGATGGTTGACAAACGTAGTGACCCAGAAGTTGGGGATTTTGGCGATCAGTTCTGACCTCTTCTGAAAGAATGGCTGACGGAGTTTGTTGTATTTCTGTTCTACTTTGAGGATCTCCTCACTGGCTTGCTCGTTCAACCTGAAGGGAGAACAAAGTTTAAGAAGTGTTTTAAAAAATAAAATAAAACATGTTTCTTTGAAATTGAAAAGTAACAGGAAGTCAAACAGTTCAGAATATGCATTTGTTTATGCCACAAAACAGGATGCACCATCTGACTTCATTAGTTATTTTTACATTTACAAAACACACAACCCTGACCTTAAAAATAAAAAAGTGTTTTTAAATTACCTGTCAATTTCGTTTTGAACTTCGTCGATGTGCTCAATAGCTTCTTGCTGCTCTTTCTCTGTGAAAATAAAAAAGTGTTATAAAAGATGCATAACAGAGCTCAGGGAAAAAAACAGATTTGCTCAGAAAAAGATACATGCATAACTTTTTTTACGTGCATGCAAAACTTATCGTATTTCAAGTCATGTGTGTGAGTGACACAATGAAACCCCACTGTACTTTCAAGATTTTCGAAGTTTTACTCATTCAAATAGACTTTGAGATTGCAATATTTAATCGCCCGGTAAAATGCGGGCTCCCCCGGAGGTTAACGTAATATGAGCGGCCAATAGCTGCAGCTCTAGCGGCTCAGGCACTCAGCGTTTCCTGCCGGCTGCGACCGACAAGGCCGCGTGGTTTAAATGTGAGTCTGCACACACAAATTGCCGCGATAACGTGAGAGACCAAGCTAGGACAGATGCCAGAACAACCCCCCCTAATAGTCGTACCGGTGGTCTTACGGCAGAGCCCTGCGTACAGTTGTATAAATATAATATTTACCACGTTAAACTGATAGAAAGGCTGGTAAATATGGATGCGTTTTGACCAGTAACAAAACATAACGTCGTCAGCTAACGTTAGGTAACATTACAACAACAACAGTAGCTGGCTAACGGCTATCGCCTGAATGAAATGTTCACTTTCCTCGTTTCAAAATCACAATAAAAGCGATGTAATGGGGACTTGCTCAAATAAAGCTCGTTTTAGAACAGCACCCAATGCAAGGGACTATCCAGCATCGCACACATCCACTTAGTGGGCAGCGAACGACACAACTGGCCACGCTGATGATGCTAAGGGCTAGCTAACATGGCCTCTCAGCACCGGTCTGAACTGAACAACAGCGGGCATGCTAATAAATGCGCTAGCTGACGAGCTAGCGGCTGTTATCGAAATACGAACACACGCAGCAAACAGCCGCGGCCCACCACAAATACGGTCCTGGAGCAAAATTAAAGCAATACACACAGTACATATCAACAATATTGAACCCTGTAGCAATGCAAATTGTGTTAGAAGAAGAAAGTGAAAATGGCGGTGAACGGGAGGCCGCCATGATTCCCCATCTTACCGGAGGTTTCGTCCGCTCCGTCATGGTTCGAGTTCAGCTCCTTTTTACTCACTTTTGCCGCCGAGGCCGACATGATTTCTCAAGCTGGGATAACTAACAGTCGTATGAGAAACTAGCTGGTAGCTTTGAAATCTGGTTTCCCCTTGAACAGGAGAATTTTCGGCGTAAAGTTCACAGCGTGCAGAAGCCAACAACGTGCTGCTTCCACACAATGTAGCTGCCGATGAGCAAGGAAGTCACAGCAACCGCCGCTCACGCGCTCCTTTCATTACGACGCGCCTCGCCGAATGGAGAAGAGGGCGAGCTCCGCCTCTCAAAATAGGTCTCACTGCCTTGCTCACATTTGCTGATTTACACCTCTTTCTCCTCTTAAAATATCACTCAAATTGAACAAAATTTCTAATTAGTACTAATGTTGATCTCAGAAACAATTTTGAAGTTAATGGCCGCCCAAAATATTTTATTAGGACCAGGCCAAACCTTCATTTGGACCGACTCGCACTTGCGCACTTTAAAAAAGATGCTGTATATCATTGGAGGCAGGAGGGACCTCGTTCTGGTGGTCAATGCAAATGAGCTTTTCAGTTTTAGGATTTAATTGTTCGTGTTTGATACGAAAAGAACAAGTAAACAGGACGTTTAGAAATATCTTTATTTAAAATGTAATTAAAAGGTAGTATAGCCTAAAATACAAATAGGACTGCAATTCTATAGGTAGGCCTGCTACATACCGTATTTAGCACATGCAGTCAGTTCAATTAAATTACTCTTACAAAAAGCATACTGGCAATAACTCAAGTCTAGCCCAATGTGTGCCACAACATGGAAGATTTGGTCCCTTTTGTACGTTTCTGTTTCTCCTGTTTAAAAACGTTGAGGTATACTGGTACCCTGGCATTTCCTCTACATGTTACTTTATATTTCTACAGTTCTACTCCACAGCAACTCAAAAGGAAACAGCCTACTGTACTTGTTTCCATTTACTTCTATTACTCTATTTGACTACTTAATTGTTTCTTGACAGCAGTTACTTTGCAAATTTACATTATTATACAACATATCATTAAAAGTAATTCGCTACATTAGCTCATCAACAATTATAGTCTATTTATATGACAAAATATAGTATATTCTTACTATTTAGTAAATACTAAACACTTAGTAAAGTTGATGCTAATATTTAGAATGCAGGAAATTAAATTTGAATAGCGTTTTTTTACCATTGTATTTCTATTTTAATGGTGTCCTTTCATGTGGACATGTTACTCATATTAATGGATTTCAATGAACAGAGCCATTCATCTCGGTTCCAATTTCTCAGGGCAGCCTAGAGCTGTCATGCTTGCTGCAGACAAGAAGTGCACATCATCCAGCAGCTTCTCCACCATTCTCCACCCCCTAGATGTATATTGACTACAATACTTAAGGTTATTAACTTCTCTCACAACCCCTTCTTGTCAGAGCAGGATAAACAAATCTCGTAACCACCGCACTGCCTTGTCCCGAAGAGAGCAGCAGCAGCTCTGTTTGCCTTTTGGTTGGTGACAACACAGGAACATGTGGTCCTGCAGCGGCCAATACGAAGCCCAGAGCAGGCGATCAACACTGTCAGACTACAGCAGCAGCAGCAGCAGCAGTGCTGGCAACAGAGAGGAACTCCGCCGTCCGTCCCCCTGCAGAAAGCAACCCCCTCTAAAAGAGACAGAGAGAGAGGGGGAGAGACACAGAGGATTTGTTAATAGAGCAGAGGAGGATGAGGAAGCAGTGGGAAGGGGACGTTTTAGAAGAGGCTGCACAGAGGCAAAAACAAACAGGACAGTCTGTGTGATCCAGGTCTCAAGATGTAGGAGCGGCATCAGAGGAGTCCAAAGTCAGTGTGTGTGTGTGTGTGTGAACGCACCATAACATCATAGGACTTGTGTTTCAAGGATAGTGAAGGTGGCAACCTGAGAAGTCCTCCACTCTACCTCCACAGAGGATGTCAAATTAGTCCTTATTCAGCAAGGAGCGAGAGCATCAACCTGAGGTAAGTGAAGTGCAAAGTCATGCTGTTTCCACCTGATGTGAACACGTTGTTCTCACTTATCTTCTTTGCCACTTGTTTTTGTCCAATATGGAGATGAGTGGTGTGTGCAGAGCTGCATGTCTCTGGCGATTCCCTTTATGCTGTGCCATTTGTTTTGATAAATAAATGGCTGTTTTCCATCTTACTCCCCTGTCCCGACTGATATGCCAGGGAGAAACAAGTGTGGTGATGAAGTGGGGCTTGTTGTCTCTTGATGTGATTTCGTTATCCAGGATCAGATGTTGTCCACGGCTCAGCAGATGCTGCAGGATAGCCGCTCCAAGATCGAGCTGATCCGACTGCAGATTATCAAAGTCACCCAGGCTGGCAGCAGCAGTGGAATTGGCGAGGATGGTGGCGGAGACCCCACTCATGGAGGTCAGAGTCCTGGGCCATGACCCCTATTGTACAGGGTCGCTGCATGTCTAAAAGATGATTAGTTGTTTACACGATTGGTTGGAATTTTGTTTATTTCTAGAGGCATTTGTACTGGAAATGTACAGCTTCTTCTAGCATGTAAACTATCTCCAACAAGGCATGAAATCATATTTGTTGTCATACAATACATCTCTCACCACAAGCAACATAAACACATCTGTAACACAATTTTTTGTTGGTTTTTAATCACAGTAATTTTCTTAATGTAGAGCAAGCTGGCTCGTTACACCAGCAATCTATAAGAAAGAAGAAATCTAAACATAATAGATAACAACATACTGGGATAATCAAACTGTAATGCCATTTTGTAATAGAGAACCATACTTTATAAACTCAAAATCTCAAGCTCAGCCTCAGGGTCGCTGGTATTGATAAACAATTCCATACTTTTCAGCAGAAACTGTATGGTCCCCGGGCGCCGTTCATAATGGCAGCCCACTGCTCCTAACACTAGGATGGGTCAAATGCAGAGAAACCATTTTGTTACATAGTAAGTAGGCCTACTGTGTAATGACAATAAAAGTATTACAAAAAATAAAATAAAAAATGTTCCTGTGTGTCAGGAAAAATACTTTAAAAAAAGAGACAATATGATGTCAGATGTGGATGTCCTTCTTCTCTGGAAGGAGGTCACGACTCTGTTTTCAAGAAAGGGGATTAAGGGTAAAAAAAGTTTTAGGATTTTTTTTTTTCTTTTGTAAACCGTGCCAATTTATTTACCCTGCTGATGTCAAGCCAGATACACACCTAAAAGTAAAGCCAGTAAATTAGGCAAGACCTTCTTTTTATTAAACAGGTTTTGGTTGACATGCTGTAACAAGCTGTGACAATAGTTTTTCATTTTCAATAATGTTTTTGTGTTTCAAAAGCCCTTCCAGGGAGAAAAATACAGCTGAAAGACACTTAGTGACAGCTAACAATGCCTGTCAGAAACTTCTGTCCTGAAATATAATAGTACCCATATTAGTTGAACCGTGATTCCTGCCACCCTTCCTTTTTGCGGGCATTATTTGTTTAATCTGGAAAGTGAAACCACTCTTGCACCTCTAATAAGAGACGGTACATTTAGCGTACTTCTGAACTGTAGATATGTGCTATTTAGAAAACTCTGAAACTAACACAAAATTATTCATGGCTCAAAAGTAATACGAGACATGTAACTGTACCTTGTTACCTCGTCTCACGTTTAATTTCCTTCACCCCTGACCTTTTTCCTCATTGATTCTTTTGTTATGTTTTGTTCTGTCGGGAATTTAAGTCCTTGTTACTACTAGCAGCTCGATTCACTGTGTATCCAAGTGTCAGCTACATTTGATAAGACAGTAGGGCACTTTACACCTTACACACTGTGCTGCTGCTTTGGAAGAGATCAGATAAAAGTGGATTCATCCCAAAGGACATTGTCAGCAGTTGCAGTATAGAGTGGGAAAAAGTGGAAAAATATAGACAATAAGGGTAATCGATGGGGTGCAAAAAACAAAACACCACACTTCCAGAGGTGTTAACAAGTTAAGTTTTACAAATATAAAACAGTAAGGTGCAAGTAAACACTTAACATTAAGAGCCATTAAGAGAATATATAGATTTATTCACAATTTTCCACAATATATAACTACTACTTTTCACGCCCTCAAAGAACACGCAGGACTTGAATACAACATTTTGAGAAATAAGGTACATAATTGATGCATTTCAATGTATACCATACAGATGATACAGATAATACACAGAAACCATTTTACCATGTTCACGGTTCAGGAAATGTTAATTGAAGGGGCCTTATTATACTTTTTGGGGGTTTTCCTTTTCCTAAAATCCTAAAGTTCCCTCCAGAGTTTCACTCCCACACACTCCCATCACTATGTAGCATAGTACAAAAATTAACCTAAAATGAGCTTAATAAGGCCCATTTAAGGCCGATTCCCCACGGAAAACAAAGATTTTGTAGAGAATCTTTTAGAAAAACATCCATGAAATGGATGAAATGTTTAACACTACATTACAGGACTATACAGGACCGCTGACTCTGTTGATATCTTTAAAAAAGCACTCAAAACACATCTGTTTGTCAAGGCTTTCAGCCTCAATTATCTCTCTCCTCTACATGTTTTGTGACCAGCCTTTTGTTTATTTCTGTTTTTTTGTTTTCCTTTTTGTCCCCACAACGGCCCCTCGTCCTATTGTAAAGCGCCCTTGGGTCTCTTGAAAGGCGCTTTATAAATCCAAGTTATTACTATTATTATTATTATTATTCAGAAGTCAATAGCAGCAAGATAAAAAGAAAAGTGAGGTAGTAATTTTTACCTAACTCATTGTTCCTTGTCTCCTTGCATTAACTTTGCAAAGGATAAACGGTTTTCTCCCAATGTGTCATTTTTATATTTCCTTTTAGAGCTTTCATACATTTCAGATAATTGTCAGCTAAATGTCAGGAACATAAAAATGTAACATACAGACCTTTGCGAGGAGCACAGAGACATTTCAGAGAAAAGGACTCTGCTAAGCGTTATAAATATTGAATGCAGGAGTGAGAAGAGGCTATATTCCTGTAGACTGAAATACTCTCCCTCTCTCGTCTTATAGGGATCTCTCCTGTCAGTGCTGTGGAGGCTCGTTTGGCAGAGTTGCAGCACTACATGCAGAGAGAGACCGATGCCTTGGTGCTGGCCAAAGATGTGGTGAAGCAGCTGGAGGGAATCTCAGTGCTGGACCAGAAGGCACTGACTGAGGTAGAACTCTCTATAAAAAATGGTATCAAACAAAAATATTAAAGGATATTGTCATGACAGCACATTTCCTACTCCTTTTTTGTTGTAGAATAACCTGGAGCTATAGAGAAAGATGTCTAGAATATTTGGGTTTTCTTGATAATCATTTCTGAAGGACAGTTTAGAGATCTTATTTAATATTTGTAACTATTTTCAAAAACATGTTTGAGTTTCTTTTCTGATAACAGAATTATTGCTGTTGCGTAAAAGCTTCTGACATCACAACTTGCAATCAGCTTTAATCTAACTCTAAAAATGGTAGTGTGCTCATTTTTTATTATTACCCCACTTAATAAGATTTATTCTAATGAATTATTTTAGATTTTCAATATATGAGTTCCATTTTTATTATTATTATTATATATTTGTTTTTATTATAATTGTAATAATAATGTATTTATTATGTTCAAAAAAGTACATGTATGTGAAAATTAAATCAATATGAAAATGTCTCTGATCATAAAAGGATATCAACTGTATGGCTAGCAACACTTAGCACAGAAACATGAAGAATACATTTATAAATAATGTTTAATTTTACTGGTGTATAGTCTAGCCCATTGCAAATCATCTATCTTGCAATCTTAACATAAAATGACTGATGACCATTTTCAAGTGCATCGTGCAGTAGGTTTGTCTAACAGGCGTAATCCTAGAGGGGATCAAGCATCCCGTCGTGTGAGTGTGTATCTGTCTGTCCACAGCTAATTTGGTACTGTGGTCACATCAGCCCAATACTTCTTGTGCATGTTTATGAACTCTAATGGCTTAAACATTTTAAACTTTTGTATTACTATTTTATACCGTCATTGGCTGCTGACTGCTCACCACCCTGAACTGTCTGGTAGAGGCTGAAAGGGTCAACAACTAAGTAACAACTAAGTAGCAAAAGCCTGTTTTGGTCTTCATCCTAGCTGAAAATCATCATCCATAAACAAGTTTGGTCTGATTTCGGACCAGGACATCTGCAGGTTAATTTCATACCCTGATATATTATCATCAACTAAGGTTAGGCTGAATTGTCTTTAACTCTTCTCTGTCAAGCAGACCGATCATAACAACACATTGTCTATCTTCCTTCAGGCTCAGACCCGGGTGCAGGAGTCCTCCCAGAAGCTGGATCTTCTGCGGCTGTCTCTGGATAAGTGCAAGAAGGAAAACAACCAGGAGCCTGCAGGGGGCGCCGTTCCTTCTGAGGGAACTCTGTCTCCTAAAAACTCCAGACCTGGATGTCCCCTGTCCACGTCCCCGTCCATCTTCTCTTTCAGACCTGCCTTTTTGACTGGTACACATTGCAATACTGACACGGATCTGAACTGCTTAAAACGTTAATATTCTTACATTTCATTTATTTTACCAGTCCATCTCACAAGGTTTTACTTTACTTATCACACCACAGCATTATACATGTTTATATACTGTACAGCTATTCTCAAACTTGTATTGTATAAGGCATTATCTATTTTTGAAAAGGATGGTTTTGGTCTTTGCTTTGCTATAACGGTAACATATCCCATTGGAATTAATAAAGGTATATCTTAAAATGACCCAATTCAAACTGTTTATGAATAGAATAACATTTTTTCTGAAAGATTCATCTTCATGCCGTTCGTATAAGTGCGGAATTAAAAAGCCAGCACACCAGTTTAGGTTTAAGTGGTTTTAAAAAATTCAAGTATTTTCTCTTACTACAAAATGTACTTCTAAATGTAATCATTTTTTTACTCAAATATTCAGTAGTATTATGGATGCCTAGTTTTTGAACATGCTGAGCATACGCTGACCTCTGGCAGAGGATAATCAGGATGTGTAATCTGTTGTTTTTTTGGACAGTTCACTTGTAAGCCGCACAAAAAGCCTTTTGATGATGTAACAAGGAGACAAATCCTGTAGCAAAAGATTGGTCTCAGAGCAGTGAATACACTCAAGTTGATTTTTGGCTTCCCAGCTATTTGCACTACAGTTAGATTAAGTACATTTAGATGTACGAGCGCCAGAGAGCAGCACTGATTACAGGCTTCGGCCTGAGAGATTTATTCACGCTGATAAATTAAAAGTTTAATTTGAAGTGCACTAGCTCAGCTGCCTTAACTGAGATTCATTACCAGGCATTTGAAACACACCGGGTTCATTTTTTGTGCTCAAAACCACTTCCAACATCTGGTTAGTTATTGTTACACTTGATACTATTTTAATTTAATGGAGGCTGATCGTGTAAATTGAATCTCAAATGTTTCTTTTTTTTATAAGTCAAAAATTAATATTTTGATCTTCTTTCTTTTCAGGGAAACTGGAAGTCAGACTTCTTGGATGTGAGGATGTACTGACATCCCGGACAAACCCAGAGCAGGAGAACCATCTTTGTCCCTCTGAAGACAGTCCAGATGCTCACAGGACACAGGAACACCCTGGTAAGTGGACATACTGTATACAAATATGAAACTGAAAATTAGCGTCCTCTTTAACTTGAGCTTGTCAAGGGGAGAAAACAAAGTTCTTTCCAAAGACTATTCTTAGAAATTATTATTACCCCATAGACTAAAATACAATTATAAAAGCAACATGAAAATGCAAACCTTTGTTCATGATGTATACATGAGTGGGAGTAAATTACAAGTGTGTGTGTGACCATTTTTGACATTTAATATAATTTTCTATCAATCTTAACTTAAAGTACATATTCAAACTGTCTTCCAGTGGCTTCCAGTGGTCCTTATCAATGAATAGAATTGTTCAATGTTGTAATTCTCCTAACAAGAACATGAATTTAAAGCAAACAGATTTTAAAAAGCATTTTTCATGAAAACTGAAACATGCTTGTTAAAGTTAATCTAATCTACCGGTAGTTTATTGCATTATATTTTTTTCAAACAATGTTGGAAGTCATCTATAAAAGGCCATTTGCCAAATGGCATGACATTTACTCTCTAAGATAAATGGTAAACAAGTACAAATTGGTTATACATTGGCATCTTTGGAAGTAGGAGAATCCCTGTAGATGGTGTTATTCTTTGAGTCTCTACAGTGAACCCTGATAAAGCCAAAGTATACATTCTACCTGCAGCAAAGGTGAAGCCATGTGTTGAGGAAAGTGGAGCTTCTAGCAGCTAAAGAGGCAGATTAGTTTCTCTGGAGAAAATTGCGACCAAAACAGAAACCAAAGAGAGTGAAATGTTGACTTACATTCATCAGGCGGACACAAACATGACTTTTGCCTGGATAACTGCTCTGTCTCTGGTATGGTGACATTATGACAATTTGCAGTGTGTCACAGTTCTCTCTGTAACGTTGTTGGGCAGTTATTGGGCTTAAATGTGGCCAACAAAACAATAAATGCAGCTTTAAGCTAATTCAAATGTGTTGAGTGTTTTTATAAATATATATATTCACATAGTTCCTTTTATGTGTTTCTGTCTCACAGTGGAGATCAGTGCGGTGCTCCGATTGGACAGCAGAGTGGTGGGACGGACGCGCTTGGCTGCTGTCGGCAGGCTGACCTGGGATCAGACGTTCTGCATCCAGCTGGAGCGGGTGAGTCACTGAAGTGCAGTCAACCCAGCATGTTTACACCAGTAGCATCTCAGTTCTGATGATCATATTGAGTTTATGACCCCTACACTTATATTAAACATGGAGAAAACTGACTATTCATCTCCCTCTGCTCATGCTCAAAACATGATCAAAGGTTCTGAAGGTGGTAGAATATAACTGCATTTAGTACAATACTTAAGGTAGATGTGATCAGGATGATTTTGTCAAGAGCAGTGTTTGAAGAAGTACTCTTTTTTAAAATAACTTTAACTCAAGTAAAAGTAGCCAAGATAAATTGTTAAAATACTCTGTCCTTCATTCAAAATCTCACTTGAGTATACATACAGTACATACGTTTTGGTGTCAAAATATACTGAAAGTACAAAAAGTCTAATCTAATTTACATGAAAAAAGAGGATTATGATTATTGATGCATCTATGTGTGAATCACACCTGGTAAATGTGAAGCTAATATGTCATCCTGATCCTAACATACGATTATATATCTATAGTTTATTCATTTAGAAGATCTCTGTATGTGATGAGTGAATACATCTTAGTTTGTAGTAACTAAAACTGGCAAAACACTATAGTGCAATAAAAAATATATTATGCACAGTTAATACGACGAGATGAATCTAAGTTAGGCCATTTTTCCTGAAAGCCAGTTAGTACAAAAATCGACTAACTCTGGGAAATTGTTACATTCTTTTTACCTTGTACGCTAATTAGCCCCTATTAAATGATTCAATCCAACTCAATTCAAACAAGTCAACAGTGGCACGTTTGGCCAAAACTGGAGGGAAAACTTAAACAATAGCTCCACCACAGATATCCCATAATATAAACCTTATTTACTGTAGTCCAGCTACCCGTTTCTGTGATTCATTTTATAATTCTGATCACCAGCACCCAGGTCCAAGCAGTACTTCCTCTGCATGTACATCCTGTTTCAACCTGAAATAAGTTGAACAACAGAAACAGGACACCACTGAGATACTCCAGGATCAAAGACAGCATGTTCTCCTTGTATGATGGATGGACTGGACTTTGTCTCTGTGACATTGGTGCTGATAGAAAGAGGATCAGCAGCTTACAGGCTGTAGTAACGCTGCATGTGCTGACACGTTGTATAATACGTCCACCACAGGACCTTACAGAGTGTACAAGGGCACCATGCAGGGAGGGAATACACAGGAAGTATACACTTGAGTAATAAAACGTGTATAAAAACTGTAAGTTGAACCAAGCAATTCCTTTTTGTCCTCAACATGACACCGAGAGATGAATTAGAAAAACTGTTCATTCTGGTTTTCTAGAGCACTTTCTTAATTTTTCTAGTGTCCCGTGTGTTTTGTCTTTTTAAAATAAATATATTCGATAGCATTAAGGGAGATAACAAGTGATGCAATTATAGGAACATAGATTATATTCTTTGTGTTTAATTTATGAATAGTTTGTGTAGTGTATATTAACTTTTAGCCTTTCAAAATACACATTTTAATTCATGGTATTTTTGGAGTCAGTTTGACTTCATCTCATTTTCAACTATTCCCCGTAATTGAGGAAAAATGTTTTTGTTTAAACTTATTGAGGTAGAGTCAGACTAATTGTTTGCCTTGTAAAACTATGCATAACCAGTTAACAGCAAGCACACAACATTTGATATTAACTTTAATATAATTATTGGAAGTGAATTTGATTATCAAATGTTCATGTAGTAAAGCTTTTGTGGAAAAGATTGACCCAATGTCCTCTACAGGGGACATTTACAAAATAATATATACATATATATATATTTGAGAAGGACATATTTTTAATGTTTCTTGCATCTAGATAACTTAAATACTTAAATGTGTAAACTCTTAATAACACTTATTTTCTTTATATTATATTATAGGCAGGCAATTAAAACAAAAATGAAGTTATAAATCTGTGGGCTCTCGTGCTTGCTGGAAGTGGGGATCTGGATCTGGTCCGACCTCTTTATATTTTGTGCCTTTCCGTTGGGTTGAGAAGGAGATTGTTCTCTGGGCTGCTCTCCTTCTGAAGAAAAGGGGGAGCTGGCACGTTGTCCTGCAGCAGAGGTGCTCGGTGCCCTTTTTCTTGTTATCATTATGCAGGATGTCATGGTAATGGCTGCATTTTTTTGACATGCCCCAACCCAGACACTGAAACCTGTAGTGTACTCTACACTCCCTCTGAGACTTGAACCGATGGGATCCTGGGAATAATCATGAAAAATACCCCACAATAACCTACTTACTGGCAAATGATATACTTTGTTGTCATTTTTAGTCTTTTTGTAGTTGTTTTGTGTAATTTAGATATAGTTTTGGTCTATAGTTTTGTTTTTGGTTTACTTTACCCCTTTTTGTAGTCAGTTTGTGTCTTTTTCTGGGTTAGTGTGTCTTTAAATGGCACTTGTTAGGTAAATGCATAGACTGTATATATAAAGGGTAAATGCCACGGGGGTCCTGACCAGGGATTGGGACTTTTATAGTCATTGAGGACCGCAATAAAAAAAGAAATGTTTTAAATGTCCTCACCTTCATACAGGCAAAAAGCATTATACTGTATGTTAAATATAGGCTGTCGTGATCAAGTAAAACACCGCCGACTTGATATAGAGTGGTGCAGTGACGCGTCCTAAAACCATAGACTATTACAAAAAAAAACAGAAGTAAGCTGCGGATGGGTTCCTTCCATGGATGTATAATAAGAACAGAAAGGGAGGAAAAATAACAGCGCGCTGTGCTCCCGCCAAGCTGACGTCACGCCCGTCCCATTACCGGTCGTGCAGCCTGCAGGAATGTGTACAAAAACTAATAGCCACTTTCTGTCCATTGGACGAGTGTCTTACAATACTGTTCACGTACGCAACTTATTAATTACTCTCACGATATTCTACACATTTCGCATGTAGCACTAAGAGCAGAATATTGCAGAAGCAGCACGCCACAGAGCCACTGTCGACTTCTTCCTCGTATTTGGCAAACTAGATGGTGCAGTGTCACAGTGCTGCCCTCTACTGGTGGTTATTCGTTTAATAATATCACTCATGATCATTTCAGCAGGGCAGATGATGGAATAGTCCAAGGGCATTTGGTGGAGGAATGGAGGAGGGCTTCGAGGAAGACAGAGGGGGCTGATTGGATGGGCTGGGAGGAAGAATGAGACACCATCAGAATATTGAATAGCTGCAATCATAAAACAAAATGGAAAGCTATTCTGGGAAATCTGCACTCCTACGTGCCACCTTTTGAAACTTGTGTTATTTTCCTTATGATACTGTTGATATATTTTTGGATTCTTACTTGCAAGAGATTGTATCATAATTTTCCTTAAAGTGGACCTATCATGCTATATTTAAATGATATATGGCCATACCTATATAAGGTATATTTATTATACGTTTCTGTTTTCAAAATACCAAACAGATCATGCATTTTAGCCATGCCTCATTTCGCTCTATTTGCTCTTTTCCAGCCCTGTTTTTGCAGGGGGCTGATTCTGTGAGCTGCAGCTGACCACGCCCCCCTGCAGGAGAGGGGAGCCGCTCTGATCAAGTCAGAAGAGGGGGAGAAAAATAGATCTCTGTCCTCCGTGTTTTATTATAGCCTATTATTATACAGAGTCGTTATTCATTTGTTTTAAAGCTCAATAAATAACAAAGAAGACCTTTGACCGGCACTTTTCTAATTTTGTCCGGAAGATTTAAACTTTAACGGACATCTTGACCGGCGAAAGAAAACCTAACTGAAACTCTGCCGCACGTTCCCCTCGTTCCTTGGAAGAGGCGGAGAGGTGGGTGTTTGTCATCTGCTGGTGGACTAACCGGAGAGAATTACAGTGCTTGCCTCGACGGGGAGGGATTGCATTGAATGAAAGCAGCAGGAGCAAACGCTTGCCTCGGGGAGGGAGAAAAAAAGCCACAGCGGAGAATAAACAGAAGGGTAACCATGGTAACCATGCGCGGGAAGTCTTCTTCGCTGCTTTTGTGGCAGACTACAGCGCCACTTACAGGCCTGGCATATGTACTACAGCGTCTCCAGCGCTTTCGAGCGGCAATGGCCGGCCGTGGCCCAACCCCACATTCCCCTGATAGGTGGAGAGTTGGCCCAATAGCCGTAGCGCCATTGTCCTGACGTCAGGACAGTGTTCACATCTGGATCAGTTTTTATCAGATCCGTTGCAGCCCCTTTTTTTAGAGATTTGGGTATGGAGGAAAATAGAGAGGGTTGTGTTTTCTGACACTTGGTGAGTTCCCTGGAACACCGGGGACACATATTCATGTATAAAAGACGTACAAAAGTGCATTTTGCATGATAGGTCCCCTTTAAGCTTTAATGTATTATTGTTGTAGTTTTGTCTGTAACCAGCAGGTGTCCATCTACTACCTGCAGATATTCTTTCATCAGCTCAATCATTCATTGCAAGGACACTATTATTTTAGAATAAGATGGCTTTTGCTTTGGGAGTTATTTTTAAATTTTTCTCATATTGTGGGGATGTGTTTTTGGATCACATTTGTAAATCAATTATAATCAGTAATTGTTTGTGTTCATTAACTGTTGTGCTTGTTCTGTCTGCTCTCCTATTGTTGAAAAGTCTCGAGAGCTGGAGGTGGCTGTGTTCTGGCGGGACCGGAGGACGATGTGTGCCGTCAAGATGCTGCGACTGGAGGACATGATGGACAACCAGGACCACAACCAGGAGTTCCCTCTGGAGCCACAGGGCCTCCTCCATGCCAAGGTATATAATAATAATAATAATAATAATAATAATAATAATAATAATAATAATAATAATAATAATAATAATAATAATAATAATAATAACTTGAATTTATATAGCGCCTTTTCATAACCTCAAGGTCGCTTTACAAAGAAAGGACAAGACATAAAACATAAAACATAAAACAGGGGGCAGAAATGGAAGTGTAAGTGGGGGGGGAGAGTGAGTTATTGTTGGAAGGCGATGTTGAACAGATGAGTTTTAAGGGTTGATTTGAAGATGTTGAGAGAAGGGGCCTTGCGGATTTCTGCAGGGAGGAAGTTCCAGAGGGTGGGGGCAGCGACACTGAAGGCACGGTCCCCGAAGGTGCGGAGGCGTGAAGGTGGAATGGAGAGCAGGCCAGAGTCTGAGGATCGAAGGGTGCTATTTATTGTCAAAGCATTTAATATATTCATTGCTATCGGGATGTTAAGAGCATTCCATGGAATATAACAAAAAGTTTTTCTGAAATAAATTACATACCCCACCTTTAAGTCAGGTTTTGAATGCAGAATTTGTACTTATTTTCAAATTGTGGTACCTTTACATAAAATATTTAAATACTTGTGTCACCACTTGGTGTTTGGTAGTAAAAGTCTTATAATGTCTAAACAGGCTTTTGTACGGATCATATTTCTGAGGAGGGTATATTTTTGATGATTAAATCAACCCTTTAAGGCCTACAGTTTCAAAATGAAATGTTCAGGTACTTGTTGCAGGCAGACACACAGGTTCTGAACGTACTGGAGTTTTATGAAGAATGGTTATTACATCGTTCAGGTGAGAATGTTCCTGAGGACATGTTAAGTGTTTTAGGGGGAAGCAGGGGTTCCCTTTATGTATAAGTGGAGAGCTTTAGAGGCTAGTGTGATTTCAGTGGAATGTGTAGTATGGAGAAATTGTTTAGGCAAACAATGACAACTGGACTATAGAGCATTTTACTGGTGTACACATCAAAACAAAAGGATCCTAAAGCAATTTTACCTTTCGGAAACATTTGAAAACCGGTTTCTCTCTGCATCGGAGGCCTCAACATCCTAAAATGTGGTGAAAAAACGTTGCTTTTTACATCATTAATATGTGCTTTCCTTTAAATACATTCTCAAGAAGTACAGCAATAGATACATTCTGGGTTATAGCAAACAAATGATTCCAAAAAACTAATATTGTTACGTTCCCTATTAGTCTAGGGATGAAAGGGCAAAAGATTAAATAACTGGGAGAAAAGAAGGAGAAACTGATCAGCAAAATTAAAAAGATAATGTTTCAATGACTCAAAACAAAGAGGGGTCACTAGCCAATTGACCAAACAAACCAAAGTATAACAAGAACAACTCTCCCAGCATTAGCTGCATTCATTTACATGCATATATTTTGAATATAAGATGTTGAGAAATTGAGCAATAACACAAGTGAATGTCCAAAAGAATTCTTCTCCTGTTATGTTTTTTTCAGCTTCAATTCATCGACACTGTTGTTGAGCGGCAGCCGAAGCTGAGGCGTCAGAGATGTATCTTCACTAAAGAGAGAGGTACAGAGGAAATACCTAAAGCATCAAACAATTTCCTTTCAAAGGATTTCGTCTGTGTTTCTGTTCCTCTGGTGTAACATGGTAACCTTTTCTTCCTCAGGGAAGAACTTCCTCAGAGCGGCCCAGATGAACATGAATTTCGCCACATGGGGTCACCTGATGATGAACATCCTCCCTCGCTACAGCTCCTTCACCACCTTCAGCTCGTCCTTCTATACGCCCCCCGACCTGGTGGCCAACAACTCCCCCCCTCCAACTGAGAAGGAGCCTCTAGCTACCAATCCACTGCCAAGGTCAGCATCACCTGACACTTAGTAGGGTGTAAATCTCTGCCCAAACTGTGTGAGCCAACATCTTTCATGTCTTTGTATCTCGCAGCGAGTCTCCAGAAGTCAGACTCAGCCTCACTGAGGATCAGCCGCCTCCCACCAGCCTCCAGCCGGGAGACGACCCCCCCGCCATCATCACCACAGCACACAAAACATCCTCTGTGCCTGCCTCGCAAGAAAATCTGGTACATGACTGTTTTTTTTAACTTATTTTGACAGTAGCTAAATACTATAGTGTTTGACCTCCAATATTATACATATCAATCAATCAATCAATCAGATTTATTTATAAAGCACATTTAAAAACAAACCACGTTCACCAAACTGCTGTACAGAACAGAGCAGGTGGCCAAGACAACCTTTCATAAAATAAATAAATACCAGTTAGAGTTGAATACCAGTTAAATACCTGGGCCAGTTGCAGGGATGACTGACAGATCCCAGTATATAGGGAGTTGCAGTCGCCTAGACTGGACGATATAAAGGCGTGGATAACTTTCTCAAGATTATTGGAAGAGAGAAACAGATAGATTTTGGCCATGGTACGAAGCTGGAAAAAACTGGCTTTAACTACTTCAAATACAGTTGGTCTCAATCCCAGAGCGTCTTCATACTGATGCACCAGGCACCTTTTAGAGTCTAAATGAGTGTGGATTTTCAAGAAACTCCCCCAACAGCAGGTCACCAAACACAGGACCAGCGTTCATGTCCCCGAGGACACAGGCAGGTACTCGGGGAACCGGACAGGAACAAAGACGACAAACCTACAAACACAAGGGGAGACAGGCCTATATACACACAAGATGAACACGATCATACAATCACACAGGTTGGAAAACAAAAAGACAGGAAGTAAAACCAGACAAGACACAAAGAGAATAATACATTTAAAAATAAAACCAGAAACATTAAACACAAAAACTAAGATCATGACAAACGGAAGCTTTAAAGTAGAAAGTCTTTCATAACACAAGCGAGGAAAGACTCGAGTGAGAGTCAAGCCACACTCCTTAACATAGTTATAATACCAAATGCAGTGGATCATTAAGAAAGCTCTTGTAGACATGGTGATGTTAGGATGTCATGTATTGAGGTGACTGAATGATCAAATGTTCCAAACGTTGTCTCTGTTTGTTTGCAGTCTTCCATAAACAACACAGAAGAAAGTGGAGACCAGCCTGTATCTGCTCTAAAGTAAACACACACAAACGAACGCACGCATATGTACACACAAATCCTAATGACTTTTAAGTTCATTTTTGGCTCTTCTTTCACAAGGATGCAGATGGATGATTTCAAATATTTTTCAGTTCTGGGCAGAGGACACTTTGGGAAGGTAAAAGTTTGAACGCTTTTCACTTAAACTGTTAAATGATCTTCTTCTGGTGTTCATCTTCAGTTGTTTGTTGTGAATCTTCTCTGTTCAGGTTCTGCTGGCAGAGTTCAAGAAGACAGGAAAACTGTACGCCATCAAAGCCTTGAAGAAAAGAGACATTGTGACACGAGATGAAGTGGACAGGTGTGTGAAGGGAAAGCTTTAAAGGGGCCCTTTATGCTTTTTGGAGGTTTCCCTTTCGTGTGGTGTGTTATATAGTGTGTTTGTGTGCATGTAAATGTTCTGCAAAGGCTACAATCCCAAAGTTCACGCCAGAGGGAGTTTCTCAAGAAATTAGCAGAGCCATTAAAGACACATTCAAAGTCTGCTGTAATTTAAAATAGTTTAAAGCTAAAACAAGACAGAGTTTAAACAAATAGCTACAATTTGCTGATTGTATTTCTCAGGCTTTAAGTTTGAAGGGCATTTTTTTGTGTCTTCTTACTAATTTGTTTGTGAATTTCCGACTAGTAAACCAAGGCTATACTTAAAGTAATAATCTGTAGGATTATTGAGAAAAGGCCCTTGTATTGGCAGCATAAAAAATAAATAAAAATGACTAGTTCCAATACTGTTTGGATCCCTGGCAAGTTAGTTCCAAAAAACACACCTGCAAATATCAAAATAAGTCAAAGCTCATAAAACAGATATCTCGGAGATTGTAACTAAGAACTCAGTAAAAGTACTCACTTCGAGTTAAAACTTAACAACAAAAAATCTAACAAAATTGAAGACACTCAGCAAATGGTCATTTGTTATACAGGTCTCGTAAATATATGACGTTTAGAGTATTGAATCTGAGTTGTTATTCTGCAGCCTTATGAGCGAGAAGAGGATCTTTGAGATGATCAACGCGTCCAGACATCCGTTCCTGGTGAACCTCCACGGCTGCTTCCAGACCAGCGACCACGTCTGCTTCGTCATGGAGTATTTACCTGGAGGAGACCTCATGATCCACATCCACAACGACGTGTTCAGCGAGGCCCAGACCAGGTTCCTGTTTGTCCTCCTATATGTTTGTGTAATGCAGCGGTGGAATATAACTAAGTATGTTTACTAGGCATTATTCTGAGGTAATTGTATAAAGTATTTTATGCAAATCAACTCAAACATTATGATATCTTATAAAAAATGAAGCCGCCCGGCAGTATAAAAAGGGATTAAATGAGCTCCGATTTGATCAGCTGCAACATGACAACACTTGAAATTCTATAAATGCATTAAAAAAAAACACACCAGAAATAGAAAGAAAGTCCAGCAAGTGTGCTCGTATTCAGTATTATAACTGTTAATGTATTTGTTGTTGTCTACAGGTTTTATTCAGCATGTGTCCTGCTGGGTTTAGAGTTTCTCCACCTGAATAAAATCATCTATCGGTAAGTCATACAGAATAGTGATTCCACCTGATTGTACTGATTGTACTGTAGCTTCAGACGTGGTTATACATGCACTGGGTGTTTTCCACAGAGATCTGAAGCTGGATAACCTGTTGATGGATGCAGATGGGTTTGTGAAAATCACAGACTTCGGACTTTGTAAAGAAGGTGAGTTGATCGCTAAATGCATCAATAGTTGGAATACAGCAGTAATGGGCCATCAGCATAATGAGGGCTTTTACTTTTGGTACGTTTTTTTTTTATCTAACTTTTAATAGAATATTTGTAGAACTATGTTATAAAACATTTTGTTGTTTTGCAATGAGTATTTTCTTCTTTTTGCTTATTTCTTCAGTACAATTTAAAGGTTTACAGAAAGCCTTATGTCGTGTGTTTGTATGAGATTATGGTCATTAACATTTTTCCTGGATGATTTTGATTGTTAAAAAGAATTGGAATAATTGGGGTAAAATAGTTGTAATAATTGTGTTTTACTTATTTCAACAGGGATGGGTCACGGAGATCGGACCTCCACTTTCTGTGGGACTCCTGAGTTTCTGGCTCCCGAGGTCCTGACAGACGACAACTACACCCGAGCGGTGGACTGGTGGGGGATGGGGGTCCTGATCTTTGAGATGCTCGTTGGAGAGGTAGCTAATACGTGTTTTTGTGTTTCTTCTATTAGTTTCTGTTAGTTTTCAAAACATTGATGACAATTCTAACATTCATTGCAACATTACATACCCATTTATCTTTAAATGATCAATTATCAAATTCCTAAATGGACTATAGGTAAAGGGGATTTTTACTCTAAACTCACTCTTTCAGTGCTTGTGCTCATACATTTTGGTATAAGAAGTGCCACACAAGGATTCAACAAGCCATTTGGATTTGGTTCCCCTTCCTTTGTCACATGCAGGCGCATTAGAATAAACTGCCCCGCATCTCCACCAACAGTTTGAAAACTACCCTTGTAAAGGTGTACCATATGTTTCATCAGAACAGACTGGCCTTTTTTATGGAGAGCCTTAAAGACAAAGACGCTAAAACAGAGCGTTTCAGACAGTGGGTGAATACAGGTGTATTCAGAAAGACTTTATGAGAAAAAACATGTTCTAGTAGAAACACAAAATGCAAGTATAAGCTTGAAAATCTGTATTATATGTCCTCTTTAAATGTGTTACTCTGCCCTGCTGCTAGTCTCCGTTTCCTGGTGAGGATGAGGAGGAGGTGTTCGACAGCATCGTCAATGATGATGTGCAGTATCCAGGGTCTCTTCCTCCTGATGCGGTCTGCATCATCAAGAAGGTACAAGCCTCTCAGCTAAGGCTCACATAAACCCTGATTCTAATTCAATTACTTGAGGTGTTTAAGCTTAATTTCATACTAAATGTTTTTGTTTGTTCAGCTTAACATCTTTTGGTATAAGTGTAGACATAAGACAGACATAAAAGAAGATAATAACAGTACCACCAGCGGAAAACAAGGACAACAAAACTAGTTATCTTGTCATGGTCCTTAGGTTTAATGTTGATAGCAGAAATGTTAAGCGTTTGAGATCCTTGGTTAAGATGGCTGTAACGATCATGTCATATTACTCAATCATTCTTCTGTAGCTGTTGAAGAGGAATCCTCTGAAAAGACTTGGCGCTGGAGAGAGAGATGCAAATGAGGTCAAAGGGGAGAAATTCTTTGAGGTAAAATCCCTTTATTTAACTTTACGTACTCTTTAAATAAATCATTTTGTGTATTTAATCAAATCCAAAGGGGTGTTAGAAGGATTCTTAATTTAAGGCTTTTAAAACAGTTTCTTTAGCTAAAAGTAGTAGTGTGTATATAGGTTTCTGTGCATGTTAATGGTCTGCAAAGGCTGAAATCCCCAAAGTTCCCTCCAGAGAGAGTTTCTGGAAATGGAAATACAGTACCTGGAATTTAAGCACAGTGTTTGAGTAAACTTCACTGTTGGTACATGTGTTTCCACTACTGCTATATTTTGTTCTAAATTACAAAAAAGAGTGTACAGCATTTAATATTGATTCAACAAGAAAATATAACTTTGTCTTTCAGACCATCGACTGGGAAGCCCTCCTGGCTAAGACAGCCAAGCCACCATTCCTGCCGTCAATCAAAGAGTCAATGGATGTCGGAAACTTTGACAGCGAGTTCACTCAACTCCAGCCAATCCTGTCGCCTCCCGCCAAACCCTTCATCCTCTCTGCCGAGCAGCAGGAAGCCTTCGCAGACTTTGACTTCTGCGCTTTGCACGGATAAAAGAGGAGCTGAAAGGACCAGGGTGGGAAATGTATAACATTTGGTCTGCGGATGGAAGTTTGTCCACTTTAGGAGTCACCAACCATCATCATTTACATATTTGTATAACCAACCCCACTATACTTGCAAGTAAAATAAATAAATTAACTAGCTATTTACAATTTTTTGTAAAACATTAATAGCGGTTTAGCCAAATGACTGAAAACAAGACTTAAAATGTGCTGTATCAGCTCATTTATTATCAGTCAATTGGCATAAATGAGCATAATCAGTGACAATTATTATAAGTGATTATCATCTAAATATAAAATAAAGTACCAAGAGTAAAAGTACTCTAACAGCATAGCCCATTTTAGAATAATGCATTTGATATAATTGGATTATATTTGATTGGTGCAATAATGTGTTTTAGAGATGCAATCTATTATTCAATAGACAGAAAACAATACGGCAACTATTTGTGAACTCAATTGATCACTAAGGTTATCTTTAATGCAAAAAATGCTGTTTCATATCCTAGGTTTTTGATTGATGTAACAAGACATTTAAAGACATCAACATGGCCTTTGAGGAAATAAAAAAGGAAATTTTTCACAAATATTTGGACATTTTATAGACCAACTATAACCGAAAAAGTGGAAATATCCAGAAAATAGTCGGCAGATAGATTTGAAAGTCTGCAAAGTTGCCTAAAAGACAAATTAAAAGGCAGTGGAGTAAAATGTACAACGTAGCATAAAATGGAAATACTGAAGTTAAATACAAGTACCTCTTTAGTACCTTTATCCGTTTCCCAGCCTGGTCTCGATAGCACCAACTGAACTAACACCCTGTATAATTCTGCAGCTCAATCATTACAACAGGAACTCTACATACAATCCCATGGCTGATTTTGCTGACTATTCTGACCGCCATCCAATCGACGGCCAATAGTCGATCAAATAAACGAGGCAACATTTTGTTTTTGTAACAGAGCAAAAGAAAGTGAGTAAAACCCTTTATATTTTCTGTGGAGAATCAAGCTTTGCTCTGTTTGTTCACGCAGTAATAATAATAACTCACATGCTGTTGCTATAAAGAGTATATGAGATCTGGTCAGGTGAAATGTCTACAAACAGGGTGCTTGAAGAGTTTATAACGTTATCACGCCATCTTTAGGGTTTCATTTCATTAATTCAATGCTCGAAATGTGTTCCGTATCAGAACAAATGCAGGGGGTTTGCAAAATAGTGCAAACTAAATCTTAAATTACTGTAGCCATGCAGGTAAGACTGTCAAGAAATGTCTTGGATCAATTTATAATTTTGCCACTTTTCCTCTTGATACACTATTTGTTCTAATTTTGAATCTGATGCACCAGTAATTTAGGCAGCAACTGCCTTGTCCTCTTAGAGTATGTAAGCTGCCTTATGTTGCAACATAAATGTATAAAATGATGATTGTCATACCCCTCTGAAGGTTAACACATGCTGTATTGTGTATTGCTGACTTGTATTTACTTGTGTAGCAGTGTAAGCTGCCTCAGTTGCTGGTGTGTCATTCAAAAACAGGGTTGTATGTGATGGGGGAGGAGGAAATGTGTCACAAATCATCACAACACAATATCACAAAGGAAAACTACCATGACACTTAGCAAAATGGAAAACGTCCTAAAATAAATGTTAAAATCCATAGCATGTTAACACCCTTGATTATGTAAAAAAACAAACACTAAATTCATTTATTAGGTTCACCAGGTGTTTATAGACTGTATATCGGTCTAAACAAATCCAAGCCTGTTTGGTTAATAATCACTCCTCCAAAACAATTTAGCTTAGTTAAACGACTGTAAGAGCTAGCTAAACTAGCTTTCTCTAAGTCACTCATGATAATATTTTTATGCTAGCTGTTAACACTTGTTTTTATTTGTACAAGACTTTACTGCCTAGTCCCACCTGAAACCAATTAAAATGTGTAATGTCATGTTTTTCTTTACTTGACTAAGCTAACTAAACCTAGGCTCCACGGGAACGCATACGGCAAAACGCATAGGATTAACGCAAACGCAAACGCAAAAAAGCTTCCGTCCACACGCAATATACACCGGATTGTGTCTTGCTACACGAGACAGCTCCGTTTACATCCAACCGCTGGAAAAGCTGCAGTACATATGCCGAGCCTGTACGTGGCGCTGTAACTTCCTCCACAAAAGCAGCGAAGAAGAATGGTTGTCATGGCTGCACTTCTGTTTATTCTCCGCGGTGGGGGCCGAGGGAACCGGGCAGAGTTTTTCGCCGGTCAACGTGTGATAAAGTTTAAATCTTCCGGACAAAATTATAAAAGTGCCGGTCAAAGGTCTTCTTTGTTATTTATTGAGCTTTAAAACAAATGAATAACGACGATATAATGATATATAATAATAAAATACACTGAGCCTGTCTCTTTTTCCTCTCTTCTGACAGCGTCAGTGTCTGTCTCATGCAGCAGCTGATCCAGTAATGATGACTCGACAGTAAAAATAAACATATTTATAACTAGTTTAGGTAGTTTGAGAGGTAATTAAAATAGCTAAGGGTGATGATCTGACTTGAAGTGTGTGTTTTGCTCCCGCTGCATCACAGCGGGAGGAGCTGCGTGTCTCCGTCCTGTCAGATTAGACTTCACTCACGTTTATGTCCATATCGAGATAAAGATAAATAATCTGAATTCAGTGTGCAGTGTACTTTTGCGGGGGTGAGCAGCAGAGGTGGGGAGAGGCGGGGCTATTGCGTCGTCATTATCAGAAACGGATGACCGTATAGGCTACCACACGGCCCCGTTGGACCCCCCAGAGCGCTCCGTTCCCAGATCTATCCACCTTTGGACCCGTTGTCGTTTGCAGGGTCCGTTTCTACCGTTCCGTTACGGCGTCGTGTAGCTTAAAGGGCTATACGCAAGAGAAATATGCGGATACAACCCGTTTTCGTTCCCGTGGAGCCTAAAGCCTTTTAACTAAAACCATAGTTGTTAGCAATACAAGTGTTAGATAACATTGACTTGACTTATGCTAACTAGCACTTGTTTCATGCTAATCAAGTTGATTATTTAGCAATAAGACAGTGTTCCGTTAAACTAAAAATCAGCCTTATGTATTAGCATGTCCTTGGTCAGAAACATTACACAATAGGCATATGAATAACCAGTCTTAGCCTCTTTAAGCATCCTGTGTGTTCGAGACAGATTCTGCTAGCTTTGTGGCCTTTGCTTATTATACAATATTTGTCCTTCAGAAATACAGTACATGCTGCCAATTCTATGCATCACTGTGACAGGCTTTGCCCACTGCCTTGACCAAACATATGAAACACGTTTAGCCTACCCAATTTCTGGTAACAAGCCTTTTCTTAAAACATGTAAATGTTTCAAGTAATTCCCTCGTAAAGCAAAGACGCATCCATCTCACCACCTGACCAACTGTTTTTTCATTAGAAGTGCATGGCACCGTGATGAACTTGTGCACTAGAAATCCTATAAATACTAGTGATATATATATATATATATAAAAGGGAAGCCATAGAGAATATTATATAGCCATAACAGTAAGAAAAATAACTGTATTTTTAGCTAATAATATTCTGTGATACTGAAGCTCTCATGATGTCAGTGCAATAAATCAAGAGGAAGAAGAGGAGCCGCAGGGACGAAGGTTTTAGAAGCATGTCTTGATTTAGTTGAAATTCATAAAAAAACTAATCCCTTTAAGATCTGTTTTTGATATTATCACACTCACATTTGAATAGAAAAACCCTAACTCTGACGGGAGAGGTGGATGAACTATTGAGAACTATAACAGAGTTATACTTTAAAGAGTAACTTAACACTAAAACCAGTTAAATGAGCATCATTTTATCATACTATTAATTGATTGTCTTTAGTGTTAAGCTGTTTTGAATCCTTTTTTCCAGAGCAATATTGAGTAAATATGTTATCTAGACCAAAAAGAATACAAATATGTGTTGCTGTCTCGTGCTCTGTGCACCCAAAAAGTACAAGGCAGAATCAGACAGAATCAGAAATCAACGGTTTGAAGAGGTCTGTTTTTTTATTCCTGACTGCCAAAGACGCTGGAAACCAAGACATTCCTAGAACCTCAGTTGTAACCACTTCAAACGTGGAGAATGTAGGAAAGATAGTAGTGAAACTCAAGAAATGAAACAACCCCTTTGATTACAATTGAGAGGGAAAATGTGGACCTTTATACGAGAAAAGGACTGAGCGAGTGACAAATGTGGGCGCCGTTCAGTCTGCAAGTCAACATGCAAGAGCAAAATCCATTTTAAGCACCTAACCTCTCCTTTCAGTCCGCCTTCTAACAATGTTTGTTGTTTGTGTGTTGTTTACCTACCTAGACAGACAGATATACATTTATTTGAGTCCAGATGTAATGTCAAATCTATGGGGCGAACTGAAACACGCTCTCTCTTGCAGGAATTTTCGTACTCGCTCAGTTCTTTTCGTCACTTATTTACTTAACTTATTTAAGGGGAGTTATTATCTGTTAGAGCTTTAACAGTGTTAAGTTGCTCTTTAAACAAATAGAATGTTCTTGAATTAAAAAGGCCAGTATGTCCTGCTGAAGTTCCCCTGAGCAAGAAGCTGGACCCCGGGGAAGGCCGTCAGCTAACTGAATGAATTATATCAAGACAACGTTGATGTAGCCGCTGTAGCACTTTAAGTTCATGCTGCTGAATATTATATGTTACTTTTGTGTCAGTACTGTATTTATGTATGAATGTGAACAAGGGAATGTCAGTCTGTACAGATGTACTCTATAACAACATGCATATCATCAGTGTTTTAATGTACTCTTGTCAATAAATACAAACAAAACAAATACAGTAAAAAAAACATGTTTGGTTCACTTTGTGTAGATTATCAATTTGTAAAGAAGCAAAGGCACAAGACCTGAATCGCCCTAGACATAAAGGCAAAAGGTGTTCAATATGAAAATCACCACTCTCACAAGGCAACAACTCAACGATTTACAGTAGAGCAAGTAATGACCAGACCTGAGAGGAAAACACAGGTTTTCAACTATTTAGATCTTTTAAAATGCATTTCTGTTAAGTCGAATGTTACTTAAGAAAAAGTAAAAAAAGTAGTAGTATCAAAATACATAAGTAACAAAACCAAAAGTACTTATTATGCAGAATAAGTTGAACATATTTTTGCTTGAATAATTGGAATTTGCAAAGTAACTAGATTTTTCTGTGTGAAAAGTATTTGACTCCAGAATGTATTGAATTATAATTATAATGTGGCATTAAATGGTAACAATCAAGTAAAGTACATTGATTATAGTACCTCAATTAGGCACTTAAGTACATTACTTGAGTATTTGTACCTTCCACCACTGAAAATAACCATCCACTGAACTAATCATGGTTGTGAAATTGTATCTGTCTGTAGGATCATAGAAGGACCAGAAATGAGCACAGAATGTCAGATCTTTAGCCTTGTTCTCTATTTTTAAATCAGATTAAGCTTTTACCTATAATTGTGCTAGGCATTCAGTTTTTATTTGGACTGCGTTTTAAATCTGATGTTTGGAAGTCTTAGAGGAAGGATTTAAAAGAGAGACATGTTTGCTTGTGTAGGCGCTGTAGAGTTTGGGCTTCAAGTGACACTATCAGGAAAGCAGTATGAAAATAATATTTTAGACTTCTGTAGTCTGGAACAAAAGATTGGTGGATTGGAACAAAAGTATTAATAATCTATAAGGATCAATCAGAGAGGACCCCTGCCAAGGCCTTTTCTGTAAGTGCAAAAATGGTGTGCATTTTCCACTGATTCTGATCCATTCCAAAATATTATGGGTTACAAGGACTCAAAAGTTGAATACAAAATCAGGGCAGTAGTTTCACGTAATCCTGCTGACAAACAGACAAATAAATAAACAACTGTGGTTGGATCTATTAAAAAGACTGAAATGCTGATATGGAAAGCCCTGCCCCCTTGAACTGCATAGGATCCATCCTCTGAGGGACATGAGTGTCTGTACAACATTTTAAGGCAATCCATTTAAACGTTTTTGAGGAATTTCAGTCAGGTCTAAAGTTCTGGGCCAACATAAAAACTGACGTTCAGACGGACCCTGCCATCTTTGGGGCATCACTGCTAGCATGGTTTAAAGGGCGTATTTTTGTAGAAAACCTTGTTTTTACTCCAGCAAAGAGTTATGTTCTGTTATGTTTAAAAAATCTTGTACAATTTTAGTAAATAAGCAAAACCAGCAGTTAGTTTGCTAAATACCTGATAAGCACTGTATCTCAACTTTCGCAGGTAGTAAGGACATATTTCATGGTCCACTCAAGTTGTTAAGGCCTACCCAAAAGGGCAAATTAAATAATGATTAAAGGTTATTTCCCTGAAAGTAGTGTCCAACCCAGGTTTAGATTCTCATGCTCCGTCTGGTTGGAGGTCAGACAGAGTTGGGGGTGTTTCTGGTGTACATTTTCTCCCACACCACCGTGCTGCACACGCAGAAGAAGTCCCACAGGTTACAGATGACTCCGCGGTCAAACGGGTTCTCCTCGTCACTGAAGTTCTTCAGGTAGGAGATCCTGTGGCGTGACATGAACTCCCAGGTGGTGCAGCTGATGGAGACCAGGTACAGGTGGCAGCCCAACAGCAGCACCACCACCATGGAGAAGACCCCCACCACACCCAGCGCCGCCAGCAGGAACCCGTTCACTCTGAACCACTGCTCCCAGGTGAGGGTGGGGGTGATGCCAGACCTGGAGGACAAAAACAAATGTTCAGGTGAGTCACTATTGTCTTTGGGGTTGTTCTCTGCCCTGATCAAGGTCTGGCAGGCTGAGTGTCTTGCCAAGCTGTGTTCAACACCGATCCTGTACCTGCCATTCACCTCAACCAATTAACTGGTTATGTCTCTCCTTTTCTTCAATTAAACGTAACAGGCCTACTCACTGAGGTTTTATTTAAAATTGAATAAATGTGTTCCTCCATCTATATCTGCATATGCACATGCACATGCTCTACATCACATCACGTCCTTTAATTGTTAAATTCTGCTGTTTCTTTTTCTAAAGAGGCCATATAATGCTAATTTTCAGATTCATATTTGTAATTTGTGTCTCTACTGTGACATGTCTCCATGCTTTAATGTTCAAAAAGCTCTTTATTTTTCTCATACTGCCTGTGCTGCAGCACCTCTTTTCACCCTCTGTCTGAAACCAGAGCCCAGTCTGCTCTGATTGGTTAGCTGGCCGGCTCTGATGTGATTGGTCAACCACTTAGAGATTTGCCTCCCCTTAGCCTTTCACGTACATTTAGTTGTAGTTAGCTAATAGAAGCACGAGTGTTACATAGTGTGGAAGAGAAAACACCCTCTGGAGGGAACTTTAGCCGTTGCAGACCATTTACAAATAACTATTTACCACTACAGCAAAGGGAAACCCCAAAAAGCGTAATCTTTAAAGAGCACAAGGGAGGTTCAGTGTTCAGCAGACATACAGAGCGATGTGTAGCGCCCACAGCAGAGCGAGCAGCTGCACCAGCAGGTAGACGATGAACCAGCGGTGGTTCCTCTCTCCCACACAGTTCTCAATCCAGGGGCAGTGGTGATCGAAGCGACGGACGCAGCGCTTACACGTCTGACAGTGCTTCGCTCTCATTGGCTGCTGCTTAAAAGATGTGTAAGGGAGAGAGAGAGACAAGTTGTATTGTAACTGGGAGAAGTCAATCCACTATTCAAGAAGGAGATGTAGGTATGGAAGGATATGAGCAGCATGTCAAAATATTGCAGTGTCTTTTCTCCTTCAAAGCCTGATTGAGTGCACTGATCTCGAGCTTGTAAGACTTTTTTTTTTTTTTTTAAACTTAAACATAAATAGAATAATTAAATAATTAATCACTTATCTTAAAATATTGACTTAGTATCTAAAGAATATTGACTTAGTATATTAAAATATCACTTAGTAGGGTACATAATGACATAGTATCTCAAAATAATGATAAACCTTTTTGTTATATTTACTTAATACCTCTAAATAATGAGGAACTTTTTCCTTATATTGACTTAGTATCTCAAATGATAACTTAGCTTCTCTACATTATGACAAACAGGATTGTTCTCCCATCACATTGGTAGAAATGGTCTTCCACACATCATCATGCCAAAGGTTGACTAGTTGTCCTATCACAGTCAACATGTTGTCGGATTGAATTTTAGTTACACTATCAAAACAAATCTTTGAAAAAAAAACATTTAAATACAAACAGATAACGATAATATAACATGTAAGTCTTGAGCATTTCAACACAGCAAGGTGATATACATAATCTGTGTTTGAGTTAGACAGGTTTAAAAATGAGATATTAAATGAACAAAGAGTATAAAAACATGGGACTTTTCAGACATGTAGAAAACAGACTGATGGTGAACTCCAGGTGCTGATGAACGGTGTCAGCTGGTTACCTGCAGCAGGCAGTATCCACAGCGCCTCAGCCGAGGGGTCAAAGACTGAGGAATCATCGATTCCATTTCCTCATTTGAACCCTGAACGCAACACAGAATGACGTGGATCACACATGAACACACACTCTGACCTGGACAGGACTTTCTGTCATTTAACTGCATGTAGCCTGTTTACCTAAAATCACCTTACAGTAAGGGTTTCTAGATTAACTCCTTTAATCTACGCAGCTCAAGAAAATCAATTTCCACAGACTTTAAAACATGTGAAAGGTAACAAGATGTTTCATTATAGAGCACAGCTTGACTTCTTTTTCTGTTAAAGTTGCATTATAATTATTGCATCATCATGTGAGATTTTTTAAGCTCCATTTAAGACCTGAGAGTCTGATGATGACAGTAAGCATTATTGATATAAACAGAAATACACAGATATTTTTCATGAAATAATGTGCCTGCTTTGCTTTTTAAGGTGTGGGTTAGTTAAACTCACCTTGACAGAGTCAGTGAGAATGAAGCCAGGGTCCATTAAAGAAACAGCAAAGTATAAGAGCACTGAGAGCGCGACCAGGAGGAAGAAGAGGAGCGGCAGCAGCAGCTCTCCTTGCTCCTCACATCTCCGCAGATCTGCAAACACACACCAAAGAGATAAACTAGCATAACCAAAATACAGTGCTGCAATAAGACTATTAGTGATTTCATGCAATAGTTAATCTAACCAACAGTTGGATTCTATGACCTAGAACAGTCTGATAACTTCAGAAACTTGTAAATAGAAATTAAGACCAGGAAATTACAACATTAAATCATAAAAATGTGACAATAACCAAACACCACAATGATATATGGTAGTCTCTTGCATATATGTACATTTTCTTTAGAAACTAATACGGTTAAATAGGGCTTCACTTTTTTTTTATTAAACAAATGGCTAAAGGCAAACAGTAGGGCAGATAGAACAGTCTAGTAAGCCAAGAAAAAGGACACCCCTTTAGTATTATGGAGCCTTTAACATCAGAAAAAGACTGTGTGGCATATTACGATGCAACATGTAAGAAGAGAGTTTGATATCAACCTATTTTAAATAATGTGGAGGTTCTTTGTAACATCGCATTTTTAAACTTTTAATACTTAAAGTACATTTTCCTGATTATACACTTATTTTAACTGTATTATACTTTTACCTAAGTAACATTTACAATGCAGGAGTATGAATATAATACAAAATAAGGAGCATAAATAATACCCAATGCATTGAGAGGGTATTTAAAGGTTTTACGACTATCCAAATACTATTTTATTTGGGCCATTAGTGAACCTGGAACCGGACAGGGCGACCTGGGACAAGCCATTCTTTAACTACTTAACTATTGTACTAATACTACTGTTACTATCATCCTTTTGAAGCCAGGTGTGCTTGTTAAAAGCCCTGGTGGTCCGTCGCGATGCTAGTAGTTTCAGATAAGTTGTATTAGTCTAAATGAGCTTACCGGTGTTGTGCAGGAACAGTATGAGGGTAATGACCCAGGTGAGCAGGGTGTGTGTGGCCCGGACCAGAAACCCGGTCCGAAACATGTTCTGCCCCATTTTAAATATCTTTCATTAGCACCGCTGCTGCTGCTAACTAGCTAGCCTGGTTAGCAACAACAGTTATTTTATAATAAGACCAATACATATATCATAAATCCCATTTTAACCATGTTAGACAAATAACTATGCAGTCCATAGAGTTATAATGTATCTAGTAAAGGTAATATACGAGCATTTTATATATTTTATCTCTGGTTCTATGTTATCCATCCTGTTGTTGCCTCTTGCTTGTTTAGGTACGGTAGCCTGCGTGGGACATAATAAGCGAACCGTGCGCAAAGGAGGAAGTCAAACGTGTTTTCTACGGATACACATACATCTGCAAAATAATTATAGTTATACGTCTAGCTATGGATATTAGGAACATTAAGGAACCTCTCCGAGTTTATATCTTTAGACTAGTTACTACAGTATATGGTTTATTAAATTATGTTTGTATTATATCCCTAAAAGAATGTTTTAAATTGTGTTCAAATGAATATATTAAACTTCTACGAGTGGCTGCTGAATGCAGGCATAATGTAGCTTGTTGCCGAGGTGAAACTGTAATTGTAATGTATGTGATTTGATACAAATCCTAAATCTACATCATTCTGCACCAAAACAAAATCAAGACATCAAACTCAGTATTACAAGAATTTGCATTTATTTGCATCAAAGTGGTCCATTAAACCTTAATACCTGGATTGATATGACATTAATTCAGAGGCCCTTCCAGCATTGATTAAAGTGCTTTATGTCACCCATCTTTTTTTAAAGCCCTGGTTTTTCTTAGTGAACATGTAGTGAAACAAAAAACATTGGCTTTGTGTGCTTTTCTGTGAATTAAACAATAATCTGCCCGTAACCTGAGGTGAACATTAAGACCTTTATACCTAGAAAATGGGCAAGAATATCTACACAAGTTAACAGACATAATCTGAAACAGTTTACACACACACACAACAAAAAAGTTATTTTCCAGGTCTAACATCAGCTACAGTGACTCATGAGTAGACAAACCACATTTCACCAGACAACTATATTTAGCGTTTCAAAGGCACATGTTAAGGCTGTCTCTTGTGTTAGTTTTCACCCTGAATACAATCACTGCATTTATAAAGATCGCACATGTGGCTCTCCAGGATCACGCAGCATTGTACCTCCTTCCTCTCCTAGACATTCAAAACAATAAATACTGCAGACTGGAATTCAGGAAATCCGCTCATCCATTCATTGATTCATTCGGGAGAGGGATGGAGAGATCAAACTCACGTGTGCAAAGTTCTCTGTTAAGAACACATTTCTTCCTATAGGTAGAATGGTTGAATAATGAAACTGCTTATTAATGCTATCTGCCATCTAAAGTTACTCGTAATTGGAGTTTTTCCCCCCAGAGTTGCATAACACAAATGCTGGTGAACTGCCCAGAGCCTGCAATCACACTACTATGAAAAAAAAACTGTAACAGGCACCAAACAGCAGGGACAATATAAGCATTTGGTCCTCCAATAGCTGATCACCCACATCCATCTTTTTTCTCATTTCAACTCTCAACACAACTTCTTTTAAAAATAAAAAATAGCAGCAGTTTACAATCCCGACAACGTGAGCTCACAGAGTCCATATCCTCCACCTTTTCAACTTAAGTGTCCTTTCTCATCTTTCATATTCAGGCGGACATTCACAGAATGAGATCGCCACAGGAACCAAAAGGCCCCTGGGTTTCCCTAGCAGGAGCGATATGGGAGGGAGACGGAGAGTGGGTGAGGGTCACTTGTCACATGAATCTTCAGAAGTGTCCTGACAATGAGAGGGTGAGCTTCAGCGCGATTTCACCCCAAGCTGTGTCTTCAAATGCTCGTACACCACGTAGCTAATGCTAACGGCAGGGATGACTTTGAGGAAGTTGGGGGCGAGGCCCCTGTACAGCCCCGTCGGGCCCTCGGTCTGCAAGATCTGCCTGAAGAGACCGGACATGGTCATCTGCTGGCTGCCCTCCACTGCTGCTGTAAAGATAAAAAAAAGAAAGAAAAGAGTTACACACAATGCAAGAAACAAAATGGTGAGGAATAAATAAATGGGAGATAGTGATAATTTTAGATCTTGAAATGAGGACATTATCTGAACCATCTTCATTGCCTGAGAAACATAAAAGTAAGTGTAGTCCTTTAAGAAGCTGATACTTCCTTAAGATAATTGTTTACGCATTTAAAAAAGGAACCTATTCCACATTCTTATCAACGCAATACTTTTTGGTATGAGCAAAGCTATGACAAAGGTGCAGTCTTTCAGGAGCCTCACCTTGTGCTTGCATGCGGGTGCGGACCAGAGCCAGAGGGTAACTGGCGAGCTGACCGCAGGTGCTTGACACGGTGCCGCAGGCCAGCAGGACCAGCACGCCGGGGTCGCTGCTGTTGGTGCCGTACTGCTGCAGGTATCTGTTCTTCAGCGTCTGAGGATGGAGTAGAAAGAGATGAGGAAAAGACACTAGCATTTCCTTAGTACAATGTCCTTTGGTATGTGTTAAGGAGGTTACCGATACGATATGAACATTCTTAGGGATAGAAGTAGACCCACAGGTTTAACACTGCAACAGTGCCTATAGTACTGCTCACCTCGTACACTGCCAGGTCGATGCCTGCGTAGGGGATGATGCCCAACATGTTGGGGATATAGCCTTTATAAAAAGCACTGAGTCCTTCTCTCCTGAAAATCTGCTTCGCACAGTCTGAGATACTCGAGTACTGCCCGGTCTTCCTCAGAGCAAGGCGGGTTTTCAGGACCTGGGGGACAGAAAAAGTCAGTTCTGTTTAATGATAAAGTCTTGAGAACTCCTATATACAGTTTCCAGTTGGCTTTTTATTTTAGAGTAGATGTAATTAAGCTGGTAATCACCTCCATTGGGTAGATTGTGCTCTGTGCGAGCACTCCGGCCAGAGATCCTGCAACAAATCGATCCAAGATCCCCAGAGTCTGCTTATCGTTACAGATCAATTTTTTTATCTGCACAAGCCGATAGAGAAAGAAAACTCATTAATACAGGAACATAAGCATCATCATTTATTCATTTTAGGCAAAGCAAAAGCCACTCATCATACCTGCTCATACGCCATGAACTTTAGGGCCGTCTCCGGGGCGATTTTGATGATGTTCACACCATTTCCTCGCCACAATGACTTCATACCACCCTCTCTGATCATCTGCATCATCCCGGTCATGATACACATGTTGTTGGTTCGGGATCCATAAACCTGAAGGGGAAGAAATTATAGTTGTTATAGTCTTAAAAGATCTGATGTGATTTAACTGGAACTTATAAAATGACAATTGATATTTGGGATGTATCGGTCCAAAACTAGGTATGTTCTATTAATCGTTGGGAGAAGGCCAAAGCAAATCAATCCTAATCAACAGGGGCTCAAAGTCAATCTTCCATTAGTGACACACATCGGGGCCGTTGACACAGATCCTGAATCAGAAGTAGACCTTTATCCCATTGCTGACGGCAAGGTGTACGCGGCCGAGTGTGTGATGACCGAATGTGCCCAGCCATTGGTCGCTGGTGTGTTCTGTCATCAGGTTAATCAGTGGACTGTGGAACCCTACTCTTACAAACTGTGTGTCAACCATTAACTGGTTTATTGCGCTTAGGTAACTCAGTCTTTCGCAATTGGGTTTCTTATCAATTGTGACACTTATGAAGTAAGCTTAATTATGGGCTCAAGGCCTTGATTTCATTTATTAAGTGATTTCCAAGTCTTTACATTTGGCCTGAGGGTTGTAGCGTGATGCACCTGCCAGCTAAATTACCAACAAGCTGCTGATAATTCTCACGGTAAGATTTACATAAGCGTCCCCACAAACTGTCTAGTTCTCAAGGCCTGTAAAATTGAAGAACACCTTCGCCAACTTCAGTTTTCTGATTGTCAACATTCCTAGAATGAGATTTAACCTGGGATTAAGTTTAGTCTTACCTGCATCATGACTTTGAGTCGATCCAGTGGAGCGGTGAAGGTCCTTGAAACAGCACCAGCTCCTCCGCCGGCGACCAGGTGCCTCCACCATATCCCGGTCTGCTTCTCCTCCACAGTGAACTCATCGGGCACCATCAGGTTATCCCCCACGTCGAATATCTGTCAACAGAACATACATGAAGTATTAGGTACAGAGAAGATGAATGGCGCCATTAATCCCCCACTGACTGCAGGCCACAGGACATTTGTAGCTGCTTCATCTTTACAGATCACACTGAAAGCTGCACATTTACTGTGCAAAACAAAACACAAAACAGTGTAACCACACAGTTTCAATCTTTGTTGGCACCACACCATTCAACAGATCCTCATTCCACAGTAATGTTCAAACTGTTTGGCTGTCATTGAGACACTGCAGGTGGAGGTCAAAATAGTATAGCTTGCAGTGGGTAATAAGGAACCTGCTGTACTGCTTTTGATGTACTGTACTGAGCTATAATGTTAATGAGGCTCCATAGGCAAAGGAGTAAAGTCCATAAGGTACAATTGGTTCGGATTAAACCTGCAGCTTTAGATATCTGGTCCTCTTCAACAAATACACATACATTTGGTAAATTGTATCTTTGATTTATCAATCTGACTTAAATTAGATTTGTAACTATATATTGCACATCTCAAATTAGAGGGCATCAACAGCCTCCCCATACTCAGCTGATGGGGAGTCTCACTGTCACACAGGGTCACACTGGTTTTGCTGTGGGGATTAAACGGGTGTCTCGTAAACCAATTTAATATCAGCTTTCTTTCGAGGGAAATGACCCTAGCAGCTCATGTTTCATCTGTAAATCACGAGTTACTGCTTGGCCCCCAGGAGGGGTGACTCCCGCTCTATTCCTGGCCCTAGTTCAGCCTGTCAGTGTCTCCTCTGTGCAGAGTTGAGGCAGCTGGACTCATTAGACAGACCTGCCTTGAAATAACACTCAAATCACGCTGCCCTTTAGCAGGAGCGCTGCTATAGCACTTTAATCTCAACCTGCTCCAACTGACCGCTGCTCTGCGTTACATAACTGCAGACAAATCCTTTGGACATAATCCATTAGGAATGTAACCAATGCCTCTCAAAGCTTAATATGGCTTTATTGCTGACGCACGGTTTGTGGTGATAGAGCTTTAAGAGAATTAGCTCTTCAGTTGACTTTTTTTCCAGACGGAAGGTGTAATGCACTGCCCTTTGATTAGTTCCAGATACCATTATCGGACGCCCTGATAGCCTTACCGGAGAAGGATTTGTGAAAATAAGTCATCAGAAGATGTATGCATCACCCACGACAGATACAGAGAGCAGAAACGTCTGGTTCCTTCAGATATTCCCTGTCACAGCACAACTGTCTCTACCTGTGGTATTTTGGAGGCTAAATGTGTAACTGGTTGAACTTACCGTAGAGTGCTTCCAGTAGAGGATGATTTCAGGGATGTTCTCGGTCTTCTCCTCCACGGGGTAGTTGCTCCAGTCTTTACTGCCGATAGTTATCATTCCGTTCTTATCCATGCTTTAAAAAAAATATATATATTTAGTCCCTTTATCCAACAATGAACAATTGCAGTGGATGAAATGGATGAATGAAATTACCTTTTAAGGGCTTTCTCCGCGTGCTGCGGGGAAATATGCACACCAATGTCCTGGAGGGACTGCATGAATTCCTGAGGATCAACGTGGCCTAAAAAAGGGAACACAGACAAGTTGTAAGAAAAAGGTCTTGCACAATGTAGGTGAACTACTATCAAGGTGAAAGGTGACACCAAGCTAGCACTGACACATCTGCAATGTCAGGCGACTCATACCTGTATTCTTGCTGGTGAGGCTTTTCACCAGCAGCTTTAGGTCTTTCTCGTAGTCCTGTAGATAGTGAACAAACTCTTCAAAGTCCAGCTGTCCACCTGAGTTACTTTCTTCTCTTTTTAAGGTTTTCTGTAAGGAAAAATATGTGCACAACAGTGAGACATGGTACTTAACTTCAAATAAAAGTGTGCAGTTTGAATAATGAGGCTTGTTGGGGGGGGGGGGGATAAGAATTGCATGTTTTAAAGGCAAAGGCACAAACTAAGTGTGGTAGTACAATATTTTCACATAGGTCACATGTTCTGGAATGTACTGTCTGACTGCCAGTCCTTACGACAAGGTGTCTGGCTTGTGGCTTATGACCATGTTGGACAGCGCTATGGCCTTTCACTAAGCTGCAAAGTGTTCTGGAATGACAAATGACGTCCGTTTCCCAGGACCAGGTGGGGTGGGGGGGTAATTAGATAGTAAGATCTGGTCTATGTTTGACCTCAACGGCAGGCAGACAACTGTTGTAATCCAGCGCTAACCTGCTAAAACAAGATGAGGACACCAGCAGTCAAGTGCTGATATCTGACACTGCTTCTAACACACAGTGCAGGCATACGACTGTCACACTGTAACCACACTCTGCAGGACATCCTGCTCTTTCCTGCAGATGACATTTTACTACCTGTACACATGCATACAGTTAAAATGTATTGCCATTCCTCTGCTCCATGTGGGGCCTTTTCCCCTAAAAAGTCTAATTCAGTCAAACACAAAGATTGCAGTTGAGTTTGCTGGAGGCAAATGGTGCTAAATGGTGTTGCCAGACCAAATAATGTGTTTACGGATTATTTCTGTATTGCAAGCTGCACAAAAATGTGAACTTCAGCTGAGCCCAATAACTAAAACTTCTAACAATTTAGTCAAAGCTCAGTGCAACCTTTCATCACAAAATCAAAGATTTGTATTTCATGTGCAAGGAACAAGAGTTTCTTAACCCTAAAAAGTACAGCAGAACACAGTTTAAACAAGTATGTAGGGGAAAGTTGTAACCACCTATTTAATAAATATATACTACCAATGTCCTTTTTGGTCTCAGGGTGGATGTTTGGATTACATATATATTTATATTTTCAATACAATATTAGAAATACACATTTTTTTGCATTTTACAAATATTGAGTTCAGAAGTGCAAAACCTGAATAGTTTGACTTGCATTGCAGACATGGCAATGGCAGCAAATACTGACTTTCCTTACCCTACTCTGTCATAGCATAGCATTAGCATACATTCATTTTTTAGGGTGGAATTTCACTGAAAATGTTTAGCCCGCGCCGGTTCAGTATTAAAAACATATGAATGGGAATTACATTGGATAGACGAAAAGCAAATTACCATAACACATATCTACGTTTAGCATTATATAAATAGCTGTTGCATTGTTTTTCGACAAGTTTTACATTTGAAATGCTCGATCGCAGCTCTTTTTGAAGCCGGTCATCTATTGCGGCCTAGTCGTAAGGCTTTTCACAAAACCACGCTAATTCTTCCGGCGGCCGGAAATAAAGGTCTAGTCACGGTCATAGTAATAATATCTTAATAACTTGTTGATTGTAGAGTTACACAGACTGTGTGTTGAGATATGAAACGATAACAGGGACATTTTCCTCACCTTTCGCCATCTTTTGTAGGATGAAAATTCCTGTGAAGGCAGGAACACGCTCAGTTTGTTGAACAGAGACTTCAGCTCCGACGGCAGTCCATTTGACTCAAAATATTCCACCTCAACTGGGTCTGAGTTGGAGACGGGGACGTAAAGGCACAGGCCGAGCATCTTGGGTTCCGTAAATCTTAAAATACACTACAATAAATAAATAAATAGCGCAGCTCTGTCAGTTTCACTCCTCCACGGGGTAATACTGGAATGCCGGTAAGGAGGAAGCACCGGCTTCTGAAGAATATCATCAATGCCACGCCTCTTCCCGGAATAGCTCTTCGTCATTGGCTGTCCTGCGTCTTAAAACGTAATTTTACTACTGACCAATCGCTGAGCCCGCCCATTGATGGGGATCGGCTCGGTCCCGCCTTATTCTTGTGCAGAGCCAATGAACAATGAACAACCAATCCTGTCTCTTCTTTCATCCATCGTGAACAATTGTCCAATCCAGTCCTTAGTTTCATTCACACAGCTGCAGAAGCGGCCAGTTGGGCAAATTGGCGGTATATTTGCCATGATCTCCCAACCAGTGGCAGCCGGTGGTCTTTTTTTTTGGTGGGGCTCTTGACGTACCGTAAGTGACCTACCCGGGGGGTCCGTGGGGTTTCCCCCCCGACATTTTTTTTCGAGAAATGACCCCTTAAATGATGACTTCTGGTGATGTTAGAGGGGGGGGGAAAGGAGAAATCGAGGCTTAAAAATATGAGAAGACTGATCAATACCTCCATAATCTTCAGTGTGGAAAATATTATTTATCAACCTGAACATCTACTACTTTACCAGGAATTTGTGTTCTCAGAACTGGTCTGTTTTTTTCTTTCTTAAAACTGTTCATGTTTTATGAACCAACACCTTCACCAAGTAGCTTTACAGTGAACTGCATGTGAGATATAAAATTAATAGCATCTTTTCAGTAGCATTAATTATAAATATTTAAGTGGTTCAATACAAGTCACTACAGCATTTCAAACTGAACTGTGAATAAATGCAATTTAAAAAAAATAACCACAGCACAAAATGTCATAAATTGTGTTTTTTCTTTGTTTCTCTGAGGATTATTTACAAACAGGCTTATTTACATATAGCAATAACTCAGAAATGAAAAAGCTACATCGTCTAACACGAACAACCAGTTAGCATAATGATAATATATGTGTTATGTACAATGTAACTGGCAAGGCTAGAGCAAGAAAGAACATAAAGTTTGCAAAAGGTTTAAATAACTTCAAGTATCTGTCTTCAGATTACGTGGAGGTTTTAGTCCGATGGGAAGCAGATTTTAAGCGACACCGAAGATAAACCAAAAATGTGGTGGAGCTGCAAACCGTGTAGTGTTGCTGGGACAGAACAGGAGCTATAACCGTTGGAAAATACATCACAGACAATGCAACAAACGTGGAGACAGAACAATCACTTCTGTGATAAATGCCCACTTATTAATAAACTTCTAACAACCATGGGAAACCTCCTCTCTACATATAAAGTGATATCCAAGCATGGGAAACAAAAGACAGCATTTACCTGTTTGCATCCAGCTAGCCAAGCCTTTCTTGTGTACCAGCTACTTGTGAAGCCTCGTGTATACATTTTGTCTTTTTCACGAGATTGCTGCGATATATTCAAATCGGGTTGATCCGGTCCAAGGTCTTTAAGCAACAATTTATCTGCCAAACTTCTCCTTTCGAAAGGATTGGAGATTAGCTCTTGAACAAAATTAGGCGGGGACCGAGGTCCGGAGACTCCACCTGCACACGAAGCCATCCTCATCAACTACTGCGTCAACCGGATACGAGTCACTGTCCAAACTACTCACAGACTGCACTGGGCGCTGACATTGGCGCCCGGTGACCGTCATCTTTGACGACGCTGATTGGCTGAAATTATATTTTCGCGGCATAGTTTACACGTTACAGATAGCAACAGTCAGCTGCTGGTGGCTGCTGCTGCACTGGTTGAAGGCTCCTCTCTTAGCGCCCAGACGAGAGAAGGTGCATGGGCAAGGCCAGGCAGGAAACATGTGACTTATCAGTAACTTTAGACATCGTAACACAATTTTAAACGAGATTTTATTGTAGATTATACATTTTACTGATACCAATTATATAATATTTACCTTGTTCATTAAAAATAAAAATAAAAATATATATATTTTTTTAAACATATATATTTTTTTTAATTTTAATTTTAATTATTATTATTATTTTTTTTTTTCAATATGGGAAGAGGTGGGGCGGCGCCCCTAGCGCCCCTATGGACCGGCCGCCACTGCTCCCAACTACTGTTGAAATAATAAATATTCAGAATGTAAGAATACGTTTGATTACACACTACATTTACAAGACAGGGCCACAACATAAGTTAGTAATGGAGGGCCAACCTTTCTTTAGTATGTGTTTTAGTATTGCAAACAATGTACAATTAAGTAAAGTCCTATCCACCAATTAATACACAAATAACCTGGGCAGTTTGCAATCATGGATGTATAATAAGAACTGGATACAGCGTGGGAGGCGGGGCCTCATTCATTCCTATGAGAGTTGCTCATTCGCGCATGATGATAAAATGGCCCAACTTTTGAGAGAGTGAAACGTCACAGATTACCCGGCATGCCTGAGAAGTACCCGTATGTGCGCTCATAGCGCATGCGCAACTTTAACCATAACCCCCAAAATGCTCGTTCACATCAAGCACGTCAATTTGCGTACACGTAACAGCACCGCACGTTCATGACAGCATGGTAATGGTTTGTTATTATGATAGATTTGATATTAACGAGGCGGCAGTTAGCAGCTAGCGGTTAGCTAGTAATTATGCTAATTTACACATCAATCGTTATGTACTTTTATATTACGCTGTAACAGGATCTAGTGATATCCAAGCAACAGAGCTTCATTTAGCATGAAAGAATTATTGCACTGTATATATATATATATATATATATATATATATATATATATATGTATATATATATATACAGTGCAATAAGCTTCTTAGTGCAATAAGAAGCTACAGGGACGTTAATCTACGTCGGTAATATTAACTTTATTTAATACAATTACGGTACAAGATTTAATCATACAGCCCATGTAGTATAATATTTTACAAATGATGAATTACAGCAAACATGTGCAATATATCCATTATTACAGCTCCGTGGGCTGGCAGTAAGGCGATATGGGTCCGTTCTTATTGTGCATCCATGGGTAAAGATAAACGCATGTCGTGCTGAACACGTAACATGAACGTGCCGGGCGGCGCGGTCCCGTGGGTTAGATGCGCGTTCATAATGCAGAGGGAAATAACTCACAGAATAACGTTATTAGCACATTTTTACAACTTGAGGAACGAATGTTTCTAATAAGGGCTATACAAGTGTTCATACTGGGTAGTTTATTTAGTTTAAAAAAAATTATCCAATGATTTACAGACCACTCTTTCCCCATGTAAGTCAATGGGAAAAAGTGTTTCCGGGCCTGGCAACCAAAAGGAAGTGTAGTACCGCCGTTTGGCCAGCACGAATATTTTCATCTGAGTCCGGCGCACTTCCTGGGGGCTTGGTTTGCAATCCAGTCCTGGTTTTAGGACAACATATTACTTTCACATAAGTAAAGGATTTTCGAAAAAAATATCGAATTTTATTTGTGGGTTTTGCATGGAAAAAACACTTTTTTATAAAGATTTAAAAGGAAATATTGAATATGGCAGTATTACTAAGCAGGTTCCTAATTCTCTTAGATATTTGTATTTATTTGCAGCCAAATATAGATTTATCATAATTGTTTCCTGCTAGTTTCAGTTGACTCTTTATAGGAACATTTGAGACTGCAAACGTATGACATGTTCCTTATAGGTAGAAAGGAACAGGGGATGAAGGCTGGGGAAATGAACTGGGAAAAGGATGAGCACCAAAAGCCAAACATGGATCTGAAGGAACGCCGGCAGAATACACAAAACATGCAATTCTTGCTGCAGCATACATATATATTTTAGACAATTAAGCCCCTTTCTGTCTCTGCATGACACCCATGACAATGTTGTTTTCACAGTTTTGTATTGACACCTTTATATATACAGTCTATGGTTGACACACTCGACTCAGAAACCCTGCACAGAGCCCTGCTGACCACAACTCGATCCAAAACGACTTTACTTGCTCTGGCAACATTTTGAATGCCGGACTTATATTAAGACTGTGCTATTTCTATAAATACTTTTGTAAATGATCTGAGTTGGTCTTCCACTCATTATTTACCTCCAAGGTGTTGTCATCAGAATAAGTCAAAATCAGAATACTTTATTTAACCTGAGGGAAATAAGGTTTTGGGACAGTTGCTACATTTTATAATTTGTATATGAATAAGAAGTTAGAGTAAAAATGTAAAAAAAAAAGATTTAAAAAAAACAAAACAACAAAAACACTATAATAATATATTGATATGAACATAATGGTAAAAAAAAGATCTCATAATAATAATAATAATAATAATAATAATAATAATAATAATAATAATAATAATAATAATAATAATAATAGGAAGTTAAAGTCAAAAATGTACAATAGAAAATTAAATTGTTATATATAAATTATTATAATTAAATTATTTATATACTGTATTTTATAACGCAAGAAGTTAGATGTCAAATAAAAGATAAAATAAAATGTGCACATCACTACAACATGAATATTACAATATACACAATGGTGTTTTAGAATATTAATGCTGAAATGCAGTTGTGGAGTGAAGTTAAAAAAATAGAACACTTAATACCCTGCTCCTGAAAACTGAACTTTACTAATACTATACTATACTAATTGTATTTATGGTATTTTTCCAGCAATGGCTTTAAAGAAATGTTTACAATGTTTTCAGCAGCTTGCAAGCGCAGTTGAGTGAGAGTGAAAACATGTTGGTGCGGCTGCTGTTGTTGAATAACCTGCGTCACTCAGCTGGAGGTAACCGATAAAGTGCAGGGACAGAGACACTTTAACCGGCAGGATCAGACAAACAGTCCATATCTGCAGGAATAACACAGGGGAGAGGTGAGGGGGCGCAGTGTTATCAACAGCAGCGCTACAACACAATGATCTGTTGTCTATAGCTCCTGAGTCACCGATTGATCATTCTCTTTTTATGATTGTTATGGAGGTTGTTGTTGGGACTGGAACAGGATGTTCATTATCACCAAAGGTTCACTTGGTCTTTGAGTCACAACAACCTTAGTATAAAGAAAAAGGAAGCATGTTGTAC